CCCTGGCTCAAGGCAGCTCCCAACAATCACCCCCCATCTCCACCCGCCGCCCCCCCCGCCCCCCCCCCCCCCCCGCAGCAGGGGCGTGTCGGCCCTGGTTGGGTTCAGGATCCCTGCTCCCAGCCTGCTCTCCCTCCCCTCCCGATTCCCCACGACCCTCGGCTTCCCTCGTTGTGTGTGGCCCACAGGCATCGGCCAAGTCTTCGAGCCACCATGGCTCGGGCAGGTCGAGCCTGCAGGACATCCGGAGCATGTGGTCCACGGCTACTCTGTCTCAGCCGAAGCTGAACGTGCAGCTGCCCACGGTCCGCGAGGACTCGGAACTGGAGGACTTAAGCGTAAGCGGTAAGACCCGCTGGTCCTACGACCAGAAGGCTGGCCACGACGCGGAGGGTGGCTGGGAAGCATCCGACGGCGGAGAGGACAAGGACCGCTTCAAGCCGGAAGAGCCGGAGCTTGGCGGCGACAGCTCCCAGGGAAGCCGTTTAGAGGAGGATGCTTCTAAGACCGACAACGGTCAGTGTGGCCTCACCGGGCTGTGGGCGCCCACCGGACAGGGGGCTGGCCAGAGCCTCAATGTCTACTGCGTTAAAATGGGGGAAAACACTCGGACCCAAGTTTCTAGGATTCCCTGGAAGGGGCGCCCACGCTAATCTTTCTCTCTTTAGGAACGCCCCCTACCGGGCAGGTGTCTCACAAGGTCCCGGGGCCATAGAGACAGGCAGGAAAATACGCCAAGGCAGCGCGGAGTGTTTGTATGGAATCCCCGAATAGTTGAAAGGAGGGAGTTAATGCCTTTTATGTGGATTTGAGCTGTTTCAGGGGGTGCCTACCTTTCATTCATTGTCACTGGTTACAATTTTTATATTGTATTCCAGCTGTAAATGCTATTTACTGGGCTGTTTGGGGCATGCCCTTCTCCTTGCCACCTCTGCTCTTCAGGCCTTCATCAGGGAATTGGAGCAGACAACAATATGCTATTTATTGAGCACTCGCTGTTGTGCGAGGCACTCAGCTTCCCTTGTATGATCGCCATTAAACTTCACAACCGCCATAAGGGGCCGATTTTATTATCCCATTGTACAGATGAAGAAATTGAGGGTCAGAAATCAGTCACTGGCCTTAAGTCTCACAAAGTGGGGTAGTCTGAACTGGCACCTCGGAGGGTGGGACAACAAAGCCCAGGCTTGTCAACCACTGTCCCATACTGTTTCCCACTCAAGTGGTATCTGGAGCTGGTCTCTGGAGCCCCCTGACCCTCAACCTACCCCTACACCTCTGCTCCAGGGAAGCCCGAGCAGTCTACAGATGACTAATCCCTCTTTTCTCTTCTCCCAGAAAAGGCTACCTCAGCGTCATCGCTCAATATCTCGAGGCACACGCCCCATCGGGCCTACTGGGTGGAGCAGCAGAACAGGGTGGGAGGCTGGGACTACTCTAGTGGGGGGTGGAGGGTGAGCACGTTGGGTGCGGGTGCTTTGTAGGGTGGAGGGGCAGGCAGGTCAATTGGGGGTCTTGGAACTGGAGGGCATAGGTGGGGCATTTCAGCTGTGGGCAGAGCTGGGGTCCCTTGTACATCTGAGTCTCTTGCTGTCTCTCCAGCTGCCCCTGCCCCTGACTGAACTGATGGAGAATGAAGCTCTGGAAATACTCACTGAAGCCCTCCGGAGTGAGCCTCCCCACCCCCTACTCCCGGCACCGCCCCCCACCCCCAACTTCCAGAAGAGACCCTGGGGGACTTTGCAGGCCTTGGTCCTCTATGAGTGGGGTTTCATGATGTGTCTGCCTATCAGATTCCCTTACCACCCACAAATATTCCAGAAGCTTTAGGAAAAGCAAAAAGTCAGAGTCCAGGTGGCTGTCACAGGACTGGGCTGTAGCCTCAGTGCAGCTCCTCTTAACCTGCTGTGGCTTTTCTAAGGCCATTTCTCCACTTGCCTGTTGGGAATGACAGCCTTCGTGTGGCCTTGGCGTCTTCCTAGAGCCTTTGGACAGTGGATTATTGGAGTAAATTTCCTTTGGTCGCCCTGCTTACTTTATGAAAGGGTGGGGTGGGGAGGGCTAAGGGCTAATGGCTTAGAGGGGGTGGTCCAAGAGGTATCCCCAAAGCTTCCTGCTCTCAGTGCCCTAATTCAGGCTGGCAACATCTTCTCTAAATTTGCCTTCCTCATCCATCCTCCACCTCAGCACTCCATCCCACTCTGAATCTCCCATCTGTTTGGAGCACAGGTCTCTGACTTGACCATTTGAAACAAAACCAGCAGGTTCCAGTACCCTGAAGATCCAGTTTCCCCGAACTAACATAGACTGGCTGATGGGGAGGCCATGCCCTGCTCACTGCCCTGAATACAGCTCTGCCCTCCAGGTTACCAATCAGAGATCGGCCGGGACCACTCCCTGACCAAACAGCTGCAGCGATATATCGAGGGGCTCAAAAGGCGCCGGAACAGGAGGCTGCAAGTCTTGGCGATATGAGAGCACCGCCTTGGGCTCCAGCGACTGCCCGACTCCAGCCCTGGTCCCTGTCCAGTCCCAATCCAAGCTCGACCCTGTCCACGTGGAATTTGAGCCCTTAGAGAAATAAAAGAATCTGTACACGGTCCGTGAGTCAATGCGTGGCTGCCCGCTAGAGGCGGACGCACGTGGCCCCGCCTTTCCCTGTGACCTTCACTCGGTCACCGCAGTGACCTTGAGCGTTCTCCGTTCGGGCACTATGGGCTCCGCCTTCCCAGGACTCGAAATCCAGTACTTCTTTTCATGTCCTAGGTCTGCTTCTCCCACTCCGGGTTCAGCAGCTTTGCGGGGATACTGGGTGTGCGGTGCCAGTGCCCCGTTGGTGTTATCTTGGAAGGGGGTAAAAAGGAAAGAGGCAGCACCTCCCTTCTAACTTAGGCGCGCTAGACCCCGCCTCTTATGCATATGCAGATACACAAGCCTCGGCGCTCGTCCCGCCCTCCTATTTGCATATGTATGTAGTCTCCCGGCCCCTCAGCGGCGGCCACTCAACGACCGTTCCTATTTCTCTCGCGAACAGCGCGCCCCGCCTCTCCCTTTACGTAAGAAGGCTCCTAGCCCCACCCGCTCCCCGGAGCCACTCAGCGTCTCCTCTGGACACGCCCCCTTAGCCACCTCCTACGCAAGCAAGTGCGCCGCCGCAGCCGGCTTCGCTGGCCCCGCCCCGGCACGTCCCGGCGCGCAGGCGCTGCCCGCCCCATTTGCCCGATTAGCATAGGGCGCTGGGCCACGCCCCCTGCTTTGCATGCGCACGGCCAGCCCCGCCCCCGCTGTCAGCTGGAGGAAGCGGAGTAGGAAGCGGCCGCGATGTCCTTTTGTGTCCTACAAGCCGCCGGCGGCGCCGCCGAGTGAGGGGACGCGGCGCGGCGGGGCGGCGCGGCCCGAGGAGGCGGCGGAGGAGGGGCCGCGTGCGGCCCCCGGCTCACCCGGCGCTCTGGGCTGCTCGGCCCCCATGCCTGCCCGCCCGCCCTGCCGGAGCCCCAGGTCCGGGGGCGGAGGGGAGCGCCGCTGGGGGGTGGGCGGGCGGGCGGGGCGCGGGGGCCATGTGCGAGCGCGGCTGGGAGGCGGGCGGGGGGCGGGCTCCAGGCGGGGTCCAATTCTGGGTCCGGCCCAGGTCACGGTCGGCACCCGGTCGAAAGCCAGACGGGGTCAGGGTGCGGGCGGGATCTGGCGTCTAGGGCTTAAGGCTCCGGCCCGAGACCCGGGGCCCGTTCTGACTCGGGTTGCAGGTTCTGGCCAGGGTCGGGCTTGGGCTTCGGATCCAATCCCAAGGCAGGGTTCAATCCGGCACCTGGAGCATGCCGAAGTCCCGGGGGCGGGCTAGGGTGGAAGATGGGAAGGGTTCCCGGTCGGGGAAGGGGCTTTGAAGACCACGTGGGGGCGCTCGAAGGGGCCTCGGGCCACCCTTCTCTCTGGGTCAAAGGTCATCGTACTGGCTGGGGAGAGCTTCCTCCTCCTTGGCGCTCCCCCATTACTTCCTGATAACCTGATAGAGGGCCCCCGCGGGCGGAGGGGGAGGGAAGGCGCAGTAACTTTAGGCAACTTCCCGTAGGTGTGCGCAGGTTGGGGGGGGCGGGGCGCCCCGTGGTGGAGGATTCTGCGGCAGCAGGAGTGTAAGAGTGAATGTGCGGAAGAGTGTGCAAGGAGGTGGAGCCGCGCCAGCGGGTGTGCCTGGGGCTGGAGGGGAAGATGTGTCAGGTGTGAGAGGCTCCGAATGTGTTTCCATAAGTGTCTAAACCTGTGTGTGTGTGGGGGGGCGGTCATGGTGAGAGTGTAACTGTGTTTGTGAGCGAGTGTGATTATGAGACTTGAGTGTGACTTTGTTATGAAGTATGCACTTTAGGAGTGTGTGTAGACAAATGGGAGCATGAGTGAGAGCTGGGGTTTGAGAAGGCCATGTGAGTGTGAACCTGCCCAGTAGAGTGACTGTGTGTGAGCACGTGAGTGTGTGTGTGCAGGTCAGGACACCTGAGGACCCAAGTGAGTGGGAGGGTGAGGATATAAGCACACCTGTGTGAGCACATGGACTGCCCTTGGGTTTGTATGTCTCTGTTTTGGCTCTTGAGTGGAGGATCCCCAGGTGTGGGGGAGATTGCTGAGATCACCAGCATCTGGAGAAAACTGAGAGGTATCTCACTCTTGGCTGAGGATTCCAGATAGGGTTGAAGGTTGGGGGTAAGGTTACCCTATTGCTTGGCCTGGGTGGGGGTAGGGGGTTTCCAAACCTACGGTAAGTTCCCAAGTGGGAGACCTGCTGTCAGTTACTGGCCCTGGAGGCTCTGGAGACTCTGTTGCTATGGCAACAGCTGGGGGGGCCCTCTTCATGGGCAGCCTTCCTTGGACTCTGTCCCCCCTCCACCCTCTGGCTAAGCCTGGAAGCCTGCCTAGGCCTGGGGTTGGGCAACCAGGGTGACAGGGTGTCTCCATCCCCCATCGCAGCTCCTCCCTGTGACCTGACGGGTCTCTTCCCGCAGGTGACCAGCGCCATGTCCAGCCAGGTGGTGGGCATTGAGCCTCTCTACATCAAGGCAGAGCCAGCCAGCCCTGACAGCCCAAAGGGTTCCTCGGAGACTGAGACCGATCCCCCCGTGGCTCTGGCTCCTGGCCCAGCTCCTACCCGCTGTCTCCCAGGCCACAAGGAAGAGGAGGATGGGGAGGGGGCTGGGCCTGGCGAGCAGGGTGGTGGGAAGCTGGTGCTCAGCTCCCTGCCCAAACGCCTCTGCCTGGTCTGTGGGGACGTGGCCTCTGGCTACCACTATGGTGTGGCATCCTGTGAGGCCTGCAAAGCCTTCTTCAAGAGGACCATCCAGGGTGAGCCCCCACCCCATTCCTGTGCCCTTTGTCCTCTCGGCCTGGGGCTGCCTAACTGGTGCACTGCTGGGTGCCGTGGTACCACTTGGGATTGGCAGCCTGGAGTTCCCAGGTCCTCCTATGTCCCAGGAATGCCCTTTCCCTTAAGAGTTAAATAAAGCCGCCAGGATGTGTTGATGGATCGGATGTGGGATGTGAGAGCAGGACTCAGGATGCCTCCTAGGTTTCTGGTATGCCAGGCCCAGCACCGTCCACAGCAGCCCCTGCCTGCTTCTACGCTTGAGTCTCCTGGCCGCTGCTATCCTCTCCCCAGCAGAGAGCATGCCCTCTGTTGTGTTGATTTCCGGAAGCAGTCCCAGCACAAGGCAGGTTTTTATGGTTAACTGAGAGGGGGCTACATCATATTTCAGCATCTACCTTTAAAAAGACTTAGGCCGGGGAATTCCCTGGCAGTCCAGTGGTTAGGACTCCTCGTTCTCACTGCCAAGAGCCCAGGTTCAGACCCTGGTCAGGGAACTAAGGTCCCAGAAGCCACATGGTGTGGTCAGGGGAAAAAAAAAGATTATTAGGCATCCCTTCCAATAGTACTCAGTGAATTTTTCCACTCAGGAAAGCACATCAAAATATGAGTGAGCAAGATGGCGATGTAAGAAGCATTATTTGGAATGTACCTGTTACTTATATTTTTATATAAACCATTGGTTACTTTGGGGCTATAATACATAGGCTTTGTCAGTGTTTCTTGAGTGTCAGGTACCGTGCCCTATTACACTTAAGCTCTGGTACCCCCCACAGCAGTCTCTAAGGTACCAGCACTACTATAACTGAGGCCCAGAGAGGTTTTTGAAACTTGGTTCAGGTCCCATGGGTAGCAAATGGCAGCAATAAGATTTGAACTTGGGTTGATTGAGGTCCAGAGCTAAGCTCGTAAAGGCCAGACTGTTGCCTCTGCTTATTACAAATAACTGGGCAGATGCCTCATGGCCAGTTGTGACATTCTAGCAAGTTTTGACTTGGCTGAGACCCGCTGGTCTAAAAGCTCTGTGTCCCCTTCTGGCCCTGCAGACGTGAGGCAACAGGTCTGGGTTCAAATGTCTCCTACCCACCCTGGAACACTTCGCTCCCTGTTGACAAGTATTTGTCTAGCACTAGCCATACATGGTGGTCATTGTTGAGTATTTAGCTGCTGGAGCCTGCTAAATGTCTTACCTCGATTATCCCATTTTGTTCTTACAACCCACTTTTGTAGGAAGTAGTTTTTAATCATCCCAGTTTTACAGGTGGGGAAACTGAGGGTCGAGGGCATAGGTGTGGGGCTTGCCCAAGGTCACCCACTTGGTAAGGGGCAGCCTCCAGGATCCTCACGCTTCATGAACTTGTGCTCTGCTGCTCTGGCCACTGTGCCAGGTGTGCGGATACAGCTGGGACTAGGGATTGCTTCTGTCCTCAGTTTACATCCCTGCAGAGCAGGAGAGAAACCAGTGAACTGAACACAGTTGTTATTAACAGCTGTGTAAGTGCTGGAGGGTCAGGAGCAGGGTGTGCTGGGGAACCTGGCTGGGTCTGAGATGCTGGAGGGCCTCCCTGAGGAGGTGTCTTAAGCTGAAGAAGCCCAGGAAGGGTGGAGGAGAGAGCAGATTGTGAGGAAAAATTCACTTTGTGTATGTTGGCCGGTTGAGCCATTTAGTCCTGTGTTCGCCCTGGGAGCTGGGAGGGCCACCATGCATTCATTCAGCCAGACCCTGTTCCTAGCACCGGGCACAGTCCTGGCCCTCGTGGAACTGGCACTAAAATGGGTAGACGTAACAGAGAAAATAAATATGTACAGATGTTGTATATTAAACGGTGCTAAGAGCTCATGGGGAGAAGGCAATGGCAACCCACTCCAATACTCTTGCCTGGGAAATCCCATGGAAGGAGGGGCCTGGTAGGCTACAGTCCATGGGGTCTCCAAGAGTCGGACAGGACTGAGCAACTTCACTTTCACACACTGGAGAAGGAAATGGCAACCCACTCCAGTGTTCTTGCCTGGAGAATCCCAGGGACAGGGGAGCCTGGTGGGCTGCTGTCCATGGGGTTGCACAGAGTCGGACACGACTGATGCGACTTAGCAGCAGCAGTGGCAAGAGCTCAGGAGAAACCATAAAGCAAGGGCAGGAAATACACAGCAGGGGCAAGTGACCAGAGGTGTCTGTGGAGGGGCTCTTCCATTCTTACCCAGTGGCTGGGAAGGCCTCCCCAGGAAGCAGAGATCTGAAAGAGGTAAGGGAGCCATGCTGAGGCAGGGCCTGTTTGAGGAACACCGAGTTAGCCAACAGAGCCGGGCAGAGGGCAAAGGGGATGAGGTCAGAAAGGTGGTGAGGACCTAGGATGCAGGTCTCAGGCCGTGGGGTTCACCTGGAGGGTTTTTTAAATTTATTTTTAATTGGAAGATAATTGCTTTACAGTGCTGTGTTGGTTTCTTCTGTACAACAGTGTGAATCTGCCATAACCGTACTTATATCTCCTCCTCCTTGCGCCTCCCTCCTCCGCATCTGGAGGGTTTTAGGTAGGGAAGGGACATGATCTGTCATAGGGGGGTTTTTTGGCTTTAGTTCCCTGACCAGGGATGGAGCCCAGTCCCTCTGCAGTGAAAGTGTGGAGTCCTAACGACTGGACCACCAGGGAATTCCCTGTCTTAGGTTTAAGAGGATGCCCCTGTGTTGATAGTAACTGAAGGAGGCAAAGACAGCAGAAAGGGAGGTGACAGTGACTCTGGTCAAGGGTAGAAACGGTTGCCAGGGGAGGAAGGGGTGGCTTCTGAACATATTAGGAGGTAAAGCCCACCAGGACCTGTCAGTGGCTTGGATTTGGGGTGGGAGAGGAATTATAAATATCTCTTAGATTTCTGCTTGAGCAGCTGGACAAATGAGATTGCAGGTTTTGGAGGGGTAGGTCGGGGGCTCCATCTAGGACAAGATAAGTTTGTAGTGCCTTCTAGACGTGCAGGATGCCGAGGAGGCAATGGGATGTGTCTAGAGTTCAGACAGGTCTAGGCTAGAGGTACAGATTTGAAAGCCTGGGCGAGATCACCATGGGAATGAGTCAGAGGAGACAGGTTGGAGGGCCGCCCAGGGTGTCTTCAATGGAAGGAGTGTGGGCAGATGCATAAGTCACAAAATAGCAGTGACGTAGGAGGAAAACCCAGAGCGAGGTGTCCTAGAAGCAAAAGAAGAAAAGTGTTTGTTTCTAGGAGGGATCAGCAGTGTTAGATGTTAGTAATATAAGGACGAGAACTGACCGCTGGATGTTGCAGTGTGGAGGCCACTGTGGCCCTTGATGAGAACAGATGAGGGCAGCACAGCCCAGAGGTGTGACTTGACCAGAGGCTGGGGCCGGATGCCGCCTGACTTCCCTGGTCCCAGCCCCTCCCTTGCCCAGGCTGGGATTCCCAGCCCAGCCGCCTTTCCCCTCAGTGCCCGGGCTTCCCTGCCCCATTCATAGCATCCCGCTCTCCCCAGACCTGTGCTTGCCTGGAGTGGCAGGGCCCTCCCCACTGGTAGGCCCCCTCTGGGCCCCGGGAGGCCGCCACTGGAGCCCTGCCTCTTCCCTGGCAGGGAGCATCGAGTACAGCTGTCCGGCCTCCAACGAGTGTGAGATCACCAAGCGGAGACGCAAGGCCTGCCAGGCCTGTCGCTTCACCAAGTGCCTGCGGGTGGGCATGCTCAAGGAGGGTGAGCGCTGGCGGGGGCCTGGGTGAGGCTGGGGGGCTGGGTGCATGGGGTCGGGCCGGTGAGGCCTGGGAAGTCCTGGCGGACTGGGCTGGGCAGGCGGGCTCTAGAGAGGCCAGCCTCAGTCCTGTGGACACAGCGGCTGTCTTGCAATTCAAGGGGTACGTCTGGACCGCGTCCGCGGTGGGCGACAGAAATACAAGCGGCGGCCAGAGGTGGACCCACTGCCTTTCCCGGGCCCCTTCCCTGCTGGACCTCTGGCAGTAGCTGGAGGCCCTCGGAAGACAGGTGAGAGCGCCGTGGGGTCCTTGGGGCTCTGAGGTCGTCTGTCTGATGTCATTCACACGCGATAGGAGTTATCTTGGGTGCTGGGACCTACGTCTTCCCTTCATCTGTTCCTTCACACATTTCCCTCAAGAAGTATTTACAAAAATACCCTTTTCTGTGTCAGACCTCGAGCAGTACAGCTGGGAGCAGGGAAGGTTTTCTAACGCTTAGAACCTGTCCACAGACAGACGCTTTCCCTAGGAGGTAGTGCGGCGTTTCCCGGTGAGAGGTGTCCAAGCCAGGCTGGCCAGTGGCTGTTGAGGAAGGCCACAGGGGGACTGACTCTGGGAAGATGTTTGACCCTGAAGGGCTGGCAGAGGGATGAATGCGTGCCTCTTCCAACTGTCACTGCAGCCCCGGTGAACGCACTGGTGTCCCACCTGCTGGTGGTTGAACCTGAGAAGCTGTATGCCATGCCTGACCCAGCGGGCCCCGACGGACACCTCCCAGCTGTGGCCACCCTCTGTGACCTCTTTGACCGAGAGATCGTGGTCACCATCAGCTGGGCCAAGAGCATCCCAGGTAGAGGGCCCAGGCAATGTGGGGCTTCCCTGGGTAGGCCGGGCCCTGACCGGCTCTGGTGCAGTTGCTTAGCCAGCTCTGCTCCCCCTGCCCTCCAGGCTTCTCGTCACTGTCACTGTCTGACCAGATGTCAGTACTGCAGAGCGTGTGGATGGAGGTACTGGTGTTGGGTGTGGCCCAGCGCTCCCTGCCGCTGCAGGATGAGCTGGCCTTTGCCGAGGACCTGGTCCTGGATGAAGAGGGGGCACGAGCCGCTGGCCTGGGGGAACTGGGGGCTGCCCTGCTGCAGCTGGTGCGGCGACTGCAGGCCCTGCGGCTGGAGCGCGAGGAGTATGTTCTGCTGAAGGCCCTGGCCCTCGCCAATTCAGGTGAGTCTGGGGCTTGTACTGATGGGTTTCTCCATAAGGCACTTTGGTTTTTTAACTGTGATGGTAGCATGCTCCCACTTTGCAGACAGGGAAAACAGGCTTAGGCATAAACAGTGACTTGCTGCAAGGCATGAAGCCAGGTGAGGACAGGTCCAGGAAATGCATGCTGAATTCTGAGCCCTAGTGCCCGTGGTTCTGTAGACAGGTGAACCACTTAGGGGGAAGGAAGGGGAAGGGGACCGGAGGTGGCCATAGTTGAGGAAGGAGTGGGCCCTGGCTCATGGGCAGGAGCAGCGAGTAGTGCTTCAGCAGATCTTGGTGTGGCTCCTTGTGCCCCCGCCTGGCAGTACCCAGGTCAATGTGGCTCTGCCCCATCTGGAGATGGCCCATGTCAACAGTTTTGTTGTCTTGCCTTGCAGACTCTGTGCACATTGAAGATGCTGAAGCAGTGGAGCAGCTGCGAGAAGCTCTACATGAGGCCCTGCTGGAGTACGAAGCTGGCCGGGCGGGCCCCGGAGGGGGCGCTGAGCGGAGGCGGGCAGGCAGGCTGCTGCTCACACTACCGCTCCTTCGCCAGACAGCAGGCAAAGTGCTGGCCCATTTTTACGGGGTGAAGCTGGAGGGCAAGGTGCCCATGCACAAGCTGTTTTTGGAGATGCTCGAAGCCATGATGGACTGAGGCAAGGGGTGGGCATGGGTGGGGGTGCTGGCAGGACCCGCGCCAGCACGGGGTCGGCCCCAAGGGGGCAGAGCTGGGGTCTGGGCAGTGCCACAGCCTGCTGGCAGGGCCAGGGCAACACCATCAGCCCCTGGGAGCAGGCCCTACACCCTCCCCTCCCCCCTCCTTGGGGGGGTGTTAGAAGCTGGGAACATGTGCGCCCAGGCTCTGGGCACAGTGCTGCCCCTCGCAAGCCATAATGTGCCCCCAGGGTGTAGGGGGCCTTGCGGAAGCCATAGGGGGCTGCAGGGCACGTGTGTGTTGGGGGGAGGGGTGGGCAGAAGCCTGATCTCAGGGAGGGAAGGGAGTGGAGGCCACAGTCTCCCAGTGGGTGATGCTTTTGCTGCTGCTTAATCCGACTTCCTCTCCAGAATGGAGGGGGATTTGGAGAGCAAAGGCTCCTGCTCCCTTTGCTCCTCTCTCATCATTTGCATTGGGCATTACTGCCCCCCCCACCTTGAAGCAATAACTCCAAGCAGGCTCCAGCCCCTGGACCCCTGGGGTGGCCAGGGCCCCCCATCAGCTCCCACCCAGTCTCCTCAGGGGGCAGGGAGAGCACTGCCTCTATGCCCTGCAGAGCAATAACACTATATTTATTTTTGGGTTTGGCCAGGGAGGCGCAGGGACACGGGGCAAGCCAGGGCCCAGAGCCCTTGGCTGTACAGAGACTCTATTTTAATGTATATTTGCTGCAAAGAGAAACCGCTTTTGGTTTTGAACCTTTAATGAGAAAAAAATATATATAATATCGAGCTCAAAAGCACTGTGTGTGGTGTGTCACTGGGTCAAGGGTTAGGGATACACAGGATAGGACTAACAAACAAGACAAATGTAAACAAAGATTCACACAACCAGAGTGAAAAACCAGCGCCTAGCACAGTTTATGTCTCAGTTTCCTCATCACTCAGGAGCATATTGGGGATCCCACGGCTAATAGGGAACAGACGTCCCGACTCTGGGCATTGCAGGGTGCCCTCCAAGACCTCCACCTGCGGGAAGAAGGGACCAGAACTGAGCACTGGCAGTTGTCAGGTGTGGGTGTATAGCCAGGAAGCAAGCGATGGGCCGGTTCTCACCTCCAGCAGCACGTGGTGCATCTTTCTCAGAAATTCCTCGTTATGCTCATATCCCTGAATCGGCTCTTTAGGCACCTCGACGAGATGCAGCTGTGGGCAAGAGGCTTAAATCATCTCCGTTTCCCAGACGCTCGCCCTGAGGCCTGGTGTAAAGGGCTGAAGTTAAGACTATCCCCTCCACAACCCGCCACCCACGGTGTGCACGGGGCTGGAGGGGTGGGGAGGAGGGTCCTCACTGTGTCCGCAGCCTCCAAAAGCGCCGCCCACTCCACTTTGGGTATCATACGCGCTATGAAGTCGGGGTTGAACTCCACAGGGTGGATGCGGACCTCCGTGGCCTGCGGGGCGCAGAGATTTAGTTAGGCAAGGACCGGATCCTGGTTGCCCTACCCCAGCCCCTGGGAGAGGTGCCCGAGACGGCCGGTACCTGGAGACGCAGGGGGAAGCCACGGGGCCCCACCCCCCGCACGTGCGAGCTCAGCAGGTTGTGGGTGAGAAGCCTCATGTCTATGCTGCGCGCTCCCGCACAGCCGGAACCGGAAGGAGGGTGGGTTCTTTACGTCATTTCCTGAGCTGTCCCGCTCTATCCTATTGGACACCTGGGAGGAGCGGAAACGGCAAACCTTCTGAACTTCCGGTGCTCGCCGGCGCCGAGGTCGGTTGGTATCATGTGCTGCTCCTGGAAGCATCTCGGCAGGAGATTGCTACGGCGCAGGCCCAGTGGTTTTGGCTGAGCTAAACCTCAAGTTGCTACAAATCGTGTACAATGTAAATCATACGTAAAACGGCTACAATGCAAGGATCTTCGTGGAATGCAAAATAAGTACGCTTTACTCCTACAGAGGCTCCTGACACCACCGTTTCCTGCCACTTGCTTGCGGTTAAAAATGGAAATACTGCCCCAATCCGTAAATTACACAATCAAAACAGCGGCAACCTGGCCTTGTATGCAAATAAGCTCCGCCCGCTCGCACGCGCGCCGGTGATCCAGCCCCTAATACTGAGCTCGTCGGAAGCACCACCCATTCGTGCGCCGTCCGCGCCTGCGCGGTGGCGGCGCCTCGCGGGTGGCCAGGTAACCTACGCCCCGTTCCACCCTTTGCCCTGCCTTTCGCAGTATTGGGTGGGTCGTAGCGCTCCGGTTCCGCCCAGCCTTCTACCTCAGCCTCGAGGCGTGGGCGGGGCTGTTCTGACTTTAGGACTCGGCATGCGTCTGGGGTGGTTACGCGTCCTGGGCTGCAGACCGGGCTCGGTGGTGTCCCGGGCGACCATCGTTGAGGGTGCGTCAACTACAGCGGCGGGATCCCGAGGGTGCCTGGAAAGAATCCTCGAGTGGACGTTTGGCGGGGTCCGAGGTTTCAGAAGCGCTGCTGTAGCCATGGCCCCAATCAAGGTGACCGCGGGCCCAGCCAGGCCTGACTTCTTTGCCTCCCCAACTCCATTCATTTCCGCACGCCCCTTCGTCCTGCTTGTCTGGGGGAAAGTCACCATCTTTCTTACCTTCCCGCTGCCATAGAGACTCCTCCAGCCGTCTGTTCCCCTTGTTTCATTTAACAAGACCCCCGTGGCTGCAACGATGTCGCCAGTTTTAGGGGTCTCGTGCCCCATCTCCTCTAACAGTTCTCAAGGCTTTCGGGCCTTCCTCTCGTCTCCCTGCCACACCCACTCTGGGACACCTGTGATGAGTCTCCACCATTTTCAAGTGGAGTACCATGGCTCCCCCACCTTATGGAACTATCTCCTTTACCCTTTTTAACTCCTGTACGTGCCCTCCTCCACGCCCTCCGGCTGCTTTTGTCAAGTTATTGGGTGTTACTCTCACCCCATCCTTTGAAACAGGTGATGCCTCTTAGAACCCTGTTTTGTCTCCCCCACTGCACCCTTCTGCTGAATTTTTCAGCCCTCATATCTTCTGGAACCATCCCCAGCTCCTTGGGGCTCCTCCTTGCTTCACTGTCTTCTGAGATCCCCTCTTCCTACTTCATCCTACCACCCACTGCTGGGTTTCTCCAGGCTCTACCCTCACCCCTGACGTTGCTCCCTTTGTCTACTTTTTCTGGCCGGTGAAGCCCGCACAGGCTCCCAGGAACACTGATCCCTCCCCCTTGAAGGGAGTCTTTCTATACTTCTATATCTGCTGGATGTAGGGACCTGCACCCTGCTCCCCAACCTTCTGCTGCCCTCCCATTTTCTCGTCTTGAACGTGGCACACTCAGCTGTGCCCAGCGTCCTCTCCCTCCGTGTTGTCAGGGCCTCCTCCTGCCGCTCTGTCCCACTTCTTTCCTGTAATTCACCTTGTTTACTCAATCTCTTGCGACATCCAGAGAGGCCGTCTCTCCTTTTTTCTGTGGTCACAAACTGGCCCATAAGAGGAATAGGGCCACCTTGAAACTTGGAGGATGTGGGGTGGTCGCAGGAAAGGGACCTTTGGAAGCTCTGACAGCGGTGGACTTCCCTGCTGGGTGTCAACCCTGGCTCCACGGGACCAGGCAGGGCTACTCAGCCCTCTGTGGGCACCGCCCCCCCCCCTTGCTGCCCTGCCCCTGCCCTTATCTTGGAGTCATTCCTTCTAGGTGGGAGATGCCATTCCGTCAGTGGAGGTATTTGAAAAGGAGCCTGGGAACAAGGTGAACCTGGCAGAGCTGTTCAAAGGCAAGAAGGGAGTGCTGTTTGGCCTCCCTGGTGCCTTTACCCCTGGTTGTTCCAAGGTGAGGCCTGCGCTTCTGGGGCTCAGCAGTTGGGATCTTGTGTGCATGTTTGTATTGTTCATGAGTCCTGCATAGTCCTGGGACAGCTTGTACCAATGGGACGTAGGTGATATGACAGTTAAAAAGCATGTCAGGTTTTTAAGAAATAAGTTGTGACTGTGAGTGTAGGGATGTAGGAGAAAAGGTGATGCAGTGCCTCTCTTTGATCCTGCAAGGTGACAGGGGCTGTGGAAGGGACTTGGGACTCGGGTCAATGAGACAGTCCTGTTCATGGGACGTTCATGGTGTTGACCAAGGAACACTTGAATTTGGATCCAAGCTTCTTAGTTGTTGTTGTTTAGTTGCTAAGTCGTGCCAACTCTCTGCAACCCCATGGACTGTAGGGCGCTAGATTCCTCTGTCCATGAGATTTCCCAGATGAGAATACTGGTGCGGATTGCCATTTCCTTCTCCAGGGGATCTTCCCGATGCAGGGATCGAACCCACGTTTCCTGCATTGGCAGGTGGATTCTTTACTGTTGAGCCACTAGAAAAGCAAAAAGGGACTGTGGCTTACACAGTTCTCATTGTCTGATCAAAGCTGTTGACGTTGGGAAATGAGGAGGGAAGGGTGGGCTGAGGAACAGAAGCAGTTATCCACCTGCTAACTCTCTGGTTCTCCTCCCCAGACCCACCTGCCAGGGTTCGTGGAGCAGGCTGACGCTCTGAAGGCCAAGGGGGTCCAGGTGCTGGCATGTCTGACGGTTAATGATGTCTTTGTGACTCAAGAGTGGGCACACGCCCACAACGCAGAGGGCAAGGTGAGCTGTGGATCCTGCAGGGGATCTGGGGCCAAGGTGGAGATTTTTTTGTGACTTTTGCTTTCTCCTTAGGTTCGGCTCCTGGCAGACCCCAATGGGACCTTTGGGAAGGTGAGTGCATTCCCAGCCTCCATCCTGGAAGCAGGGACTTGGAGGGACACGGCCAGTGTGGGGAGCGGCCAGGAGACCTGGCCTGTTTTGGGGGTTCCTGACCTTTTTTCTGCTTCTCCTTTCAGGAGACAGATCTGTTACTTGATGAATCACTGGTGTATCTCTTTGGGAATCAACGACTGAAGAGGTAAAAGTGGGAGGGTCCCCTGTGGGGCGTTCACCTGCTACCCCGCCTGTCTCCATTGCCAGCCTCCAGGCCCAGGCTGTTTCACGTGGCCCGGCCCTTCTTTCTGGCAGGTTCTCCATGGTGATAGAGGATGGCATCGTCAAATCCCTGAACGTGGAGCCAGATGGCACAGGCCTCACCTGCAGCCTGGCCCCCAACATCCTCCCACAGCTCTGAGGCTTGGAGCACAGATATCCTCCTTTGGCCGTTTCCTGTTTTACCTGCCCAATCCTGGGCAGAGGGCCCCAGCCTAGCCTCACCTGTGATTACTTAGCTGAAATCTTGGCCAAATTTCTGCAATAAACACTTCTGGTTCATGTCTGTCTCCTTGGTTTTGAATTGCTGCTTTGCCCAAGGCCAGGCCTCACTGACAGTCCAGCTGTGAGTATAGTGGGCAGAGGCTGAAGTGGGGGCTCATAAAGGACTCTGATTTAACTTAGGAGGCAGTCAGAGAAGGCCTCTTGAGGGAGGTGTCATGAAGCATCCATCTACAAGCTGAGAAAGGTCCAGTGGTCTGAAGAGTGAGGGAAGGAGTGGTTCTGCCACGGGAGCTCTTCGGGGAAGGCCCTGGACAGACCCGAGCTTGGCTAGGGCCTGTGACCTTTTGTATTTGATATCTGGATGATGGCCGATCTCATTTTGACTGCAGACCTCAGGGTGGACACGTTGGCCCAAGGCATCCCCCCCTCATCTGGGCCAAACCTCAGCCTAAACACTCTCAAATTCTGCTGAACCCCTTTTGGGAGCACCCACATCCCAAGAAGGGCCCCTGGCGCCTTGGGACCATCTGATGGGCAAAAAGGGCTCCATCGGCAGAGCGAGGGGTGGGAGGTGATGAGTGGTGCAGGGTCCCCACGGGCAGAGTTTAGGTGAGCTATGGAAGAGAGGAGACACTGATAAGGTCGGCCCAGCGGTGAGTATGTTGTCTGTTGATAGGGCGGGGAGTCAGGGAGGCCAGTAGGGCTTGAGGCTGAGGAGCATTCTGTCTGCAGGCCTTGCCCTTGGGCCTTTGCCTCTTGTCCTCGGGAAGCCCTGTGCTTGGAAGCAGGCTGATTATTAGGCACCTACTGTGTTTAGGAGCTCACAGTCTAAGGGAGGCAGATGCTTGAGGTATGTTAAAAGTCCTCACACGATCCTGGGAAGTGTGAACTGTTAGGTTAAACGAGTGGACCTGGCTCATCCAGCCACGTATGAGGAGTTTGGATTTGAGCCAATCAGTTGGCCTCAGGGAGCTTTATAGTCCTGCTCGGGGCCCTGTCAGCACCAGGTTCCGAGGGCTTCTCCCTGGCCTTCCAGGCCATCTGGGGAGGCTCAGGGCAGCTCAGAGCTGGCTAAGGCAGGCTGAGAGATCTCGGGAAAGAACAAGGGAAGGCATCTTGGAGGACACAACCCTTGAGGCAGTGGGACTGCACCTGGTGGAGGGAACAATGTGGCCATAGTTACAGAGGGCAGAACAGCCCCAAGGTGGTGGAGCATCTGAGTGAGGGGATGCTAGGAGGGAATGGGGGGCCTTTGAAGCCCTGTAAGCTGCTTACATTTCACCCTGCGGGCCCTTCAGACCAGCGAAAGATATCTGTAGGGCAGTGACAGGTCAGATTCATACCTGGACTCCTCTGTGCAGGTAGAGCTGGAGAGGGGCAGGCGGGAGGCAGAGGAGAGGCCAGCATGGGGCAGGACTGATGATTGAGTGTCCAGGAGGTGGGGGCTGGGACAGGGGACCTGTGGGTGTTGGAAGCGTGAGTCCAGGGGGCTACTTGGCTGGAGGTCTAAGGGGTGGGTGGTTTGGGGAGAGGAGGGCCCTCGGGAGGGGGCCAGCCTCCCTGCAGGGGTCCCAGCTGCTCAGTCTGCCTGAGCCAGCCCACTCACTGACCTTTGTCTCTTCAGTTCTCTTCCACAACCTGTCACCGCTCAGGAGTCCTGGGCTGGGGCAGGAGAGCGGGCTGACCACCCCTCCCAATCCCTTGTGACCTGTCGCCGCCGAGCCCTAGGTCACAGTGCTGTCCTGGACTGGATGACAGGAAGGCCCTTTCTTTCCGGACACCATCTCTCAATTCTCTCATCATGCAGATGAGGACACCGAGCTGTATGTAGACCTCCTGCCACGGTTACTGTGTGCACCCTGGTGAGTGGTCTGGAGGCTCCGGGAGCCCGAGGGAGAAGTGAGCATCTGAGTTGGCAGCTGGGCTCTCGGAGCCTGGGGTCTGCTGGTGTAGACGGTGGGTCAAGGGGGCCCCTCGTGGGCCGCACCCTATTCCTCTTCCCAGCAGACCTCAGGCCACCCTGGCAGCTCCTCACCGTCAGGGCAAGCCCAGTCTCCATCAATGCCACTCAGCTGCCTCTGTCCCTCCACTCCTGACCTCATGTCTGGGCAGGCTTTTCTCTAGTTGCGGTGAGCCGGGGCTACTCTCTAGTTGTGGTTCTCGGGTTTCTCATTGTGATGGCTCCTCTTGTTGCGGAGCACAGGCTCTAGGGCGTGCAGGCTTCAGTAGCTGCGGTTTCCCGGCTCTAGAGCACAGGCTAAGTAGTTGTGGCACATGGGCTTAGTTGCCCTGCAGCATGTGGAATCTTCCCGGACCAGGGATCGAACCTGTGCTCCCTGCATTGGCAGGCGGATTTTTAGCCACTGGACCACCAGGGAAGTCCCGACCCCACTTCCCTTATCTTTAGAGTGGATATAATCCAACTGACCTCATAGGGTCATTGTGGGGAACACATGAGACAGTTTACGTAAAGCATTTGGTACAGTGCTTAGTACACAGTCAGTGTCCAATAAATGATTGTAAAAAGAAAAAGAACCCCTGCTCTGCACCGTTCAGCCTGCATGTTGGTAGGGAAAGATCTGGGAGGTAGCAGAGAGGCCAAATCCCAGGCCTGTCCTTGGTGATTACTTGCTGTGACTCCCTGGGCCTCAGTTTTCTCATCAGTATAATGGGGCTAGTGATGCTGTTAGGGCAAGGCCCCCAGTATTCTCCTTAGGTTGCCTGGCACTCCAAGGCTCACTTGAAGAAGCTGGGAAGATATCTCTGGGGGAATCTTTGTCGTCTCTTAGAGAATCAAACCTGAGCTTCTGATATCAAGAGAGGGTTGGAGGGGGTCCCAGCCTCTCTAGCCTAGAGTAGGCTTGGGCTGCAGCCATGCAGGCACTATGATTGGGAGCCCTGGAGGCTACTGGCCCCAGGGGCACACACCCTGCTGATCATGGTTGGAGTTTAGCCGCACAGGCATCAAGGAGTAACAGAGGAAAACATGTATGTGTGTGTCTGTGTGTGTATGTACATGTGTGTCTGTATAACTTCTAGACAAATTTGAGTAACATCTGTGTAAATGCATAGCTTTTTGGTGTTCACAAACATGCATCGTCTGCTACGTTATTTTTTCCCGCTTATGTAGGATGCACTGCATGACGTACAGGATCTTAGTTCCCCTACCAGGGATTGAACCCCTGCCCCTTGCAGTGGAAGCAAATGAGCCTGAACTACTGAACTGCCAGGGAATCCCCTGCTACATTATTAATATTTGCACCAACTCTTCCCATTTGAGTTTGGGATATTTTTTTTTAAATTTAACACAGATAAAGTAACCTGCTTAACATGTGTTTTGGGAAGAAGTAAAGAAGTGCAAGGAGGCAGACAGAAAGCTATCTTCTCTTCAGCTTCTTGGATATTGGTCCCCACTGTTTCACTATAAACTCGACTATGTGCTGTGCTGTGCTTAGTCATTCAGTTGTGTCCAACTCTGCGACTCTCTGGACTGTAGCCCACCAACTTCCTCTGTCCATGGGATTCTCCAGGCAAGAATACTGGAGTGAGTTGCCCTGCCTTCCTCCAGGAGGTCTTCCCAAGGGATTCAATTCCCAGGGATTGAACACAGGTCTCCTGAATTGCAGGCGGATTCTTTACCATCTGAGCCACCAGGGAAGCAAATTTGACTACAGTGGTTCTGAATTAGAACTAGAGTTTCTTGAGAGTGATGTAAATACCAGTGACTTAATATAGAGGCTTAGCTTACAGACATGCAGTGGGAAGGCTGATAACATAGGGCCAGTAGGGCAGCTCCATGATTATTCCCAACCCGTGTACATTCTGTCTTGCTCTGCCGTGTTAAACAAGTGACTTCTACCTCACAATCCAATGTGGCTGCTTGAGTTCCAGCTATCACAGTCAAAATCCAGCCAGCAGGATGGAGGAAATGGGGAACAGGAGATAAAAGGCCCCTACTAGCTGTTGACTTTAAAAAGAAAGCACAATGTGAGAGTTGTGAGTTAAGTTTTATTTGGGGCAAAATGAGGACTGTGGCCCAGGAGACAGTATCTCAGATAACTCTGAGAAACTACTCCAAAGAGGTGGAGGGAAGGACAGTATATATATGATTCTGATGAAAGAAGGGTACATGCAATAAAGCAATGTATTTTTTCTAGAAGGTTTCTGCTAGTCTCATGAAGCTTTCCTGCTAGTCACGATAAACAGTCATCATCATGAAGGATTTTAGTGCTTTTCTAGATATGAGGAGATACGAGAATTGGGCTCATAAAATCAGCTCCTGAAAATATCTAACCATCTGAAGACCTGTCCTGCCTGTATTTCCCCAGCACAGAGTGTCTCATTTCTGCTCTCCACCCTAAACTCCTTTCAGGGGATGTTAAAGGTCAGCAGCTGTAGCAGCCCAGGATTTAATCCTTGTAGAGGCAGATGGCAAGCACCCACGTCAAGTGCCAGTTTGTAGTTGCCAGAGCTGTCTTTTAAGAAATTCTTCTGGGGCTTCTCTGGTGGCCCATTGGTAAAGAATCTGCCTGCCAATGCAGGAGGCATGCATTCAATCCCTGATTCAGGAAGTGCCCACGTGCCATGGAGCAACTAAGCCACAATGGTTGAACCCATGTGCTACAACGACTGAAGCCCATGTGCTGTAAAGTCTGTGCTCTGAAATAAGAGAAGCCCATGCACCATGCACCGCAACTAGAGAAAAGCCCATACAACGATGAAGACCCTGCATAGCCAAAAATAAATAAATGTAAAAAAAAAGTTTTTCTAGAAGCTGCCATGTTATTTATGCTGAAATCTCATTGGCCAGAACTTAGTCACATGGGAAACACTGATTTTATTCCACACTGTCTTGTATCTAACTAAAAAGCCCATGATTCTATTATTAAGGGAGAAAGGATTTGGAGTGGACGACAAACAGTGTGAGCCACATGGGGGGGACTGCCTCTGAGCAGAGAAGACTTTAGGGGCTTCAAGGCCTCCCAAGGGACAGAGTCACTTTGTGGCTGCTTCCATCAGCCTTGGCAAGGGCACGTACTAAGCTGTCCTAGGGACTGAACTCAAGCCCTTCTGCAGTGGAAGCATGGAATCTTAACCACTGGACCAGCAGAGAAGTCCACAGATGAAGGGGTTTTTTTGACACATAATTCACACACCGTAAAATTCACCCTTTAAAAATGAACAAGTCAGTGGTTTTCAATCTGTTCACCAAGTTGTTCAGCCATCACCGCTACTGAGATGGGTTTTTAATCTCAGTGACTTCACCCAAGATGAAGTTGACACTTATCTCGCTGAGCATCACAGTGCATGTGTGTCTCTGTGTACTTATGAAAGCAGGTCTGGACTTTCAGGGGTTCCGCTTGCCCTGGGAAACCCTCAGCATCACATCAGTACCTTGCATCCAGCCACTGTTTGTTGAGGGTAACTTCCGCACCAGGTACTGTGCCGGGCTCTGGGACACAGCCGAGCACGAGTGCTGCCAGCGCCATGACCAGACATGACTCCCAGCACAGGTCTCCTGGTCTGGGCGGCACCAGGGCAGCTCTGGTTCCCACCTCCAGGCGCTTACAGTCTTGGAGAGGGCGTCAGTAAGCACTCCAGGTGAGCGCTTACTGCCAGTGTGGTGAAGCTTCGAGGGAGCAGCATCGGTCAGGTTGTTTGGGGTGTCACAGAAGGAACCTGCCCATTACCTGCCCTTCCTGTGGGGGAGAGGAAGGGAGAGAAGGACTTCTAGCTGCGGCCAAGAAATGATTATACCTTGGTGGTACCGTGCATAAGAATCCGCCTGCCAATGTAGGAGACACGGGTTCAATCCCCGATGTGAAAGATCCCACGTGCCTCACACCAGCTAAAGCACGTGTGCCACACCTACTGAGCCCAAGCTCTAGGGCCCAGGAGCCGCAACTACTGAAGTCCACCTTCCTAGAGCCTGTCTTCCGCCACAAGACAAGCCGCCGCAGTGAGAAGCCTGTGCACCTTAACAAAGCCTAGACCCTGCTCACCGCAACTAGAGAAAGCCAGAGTGCAGCAAAGAAGACCCAGCGCAACCCCAAATAAATACATCAAATAAAAAATGGAGTTTTTCTTTTAAAGAAATGGTTAGGCGAGAGCCAGGTGAGCAGAGGTGGAACGGGCTTTCCAGGTGGAGGGAACAGCTTGTGTAAAGGTTAGAGGTGAGGCAGGTGAAAGTGTTCTGGACTGAGCAGCCCAGGGGAGGGAATTCTGTCCTCAGGCACCCCTGGGTTCTCTTGGTGGACATCTGCGCGCCTCTGGGATTTGGTTAGGAGCAACGTCAGACACGTTCCTGATTTTCTTTCCTCCTGGGCTCCTTCCTGGGGGCATGTTCCCAGATGCTGAGAGTGCTTGGGTCAAAGGGCGCTGGTGGTTTTACCGGTGTCTGGAAACCCCGAGGCCGTTTTAAGAAGCAGTTACTTGTCTGGTGGGGACGTGTTTTTATGTTCCTCACCCCACAGTGCGCCAACCCGTTTTACCTTCTGGATTTATTTTTTTCTTGCTTAATGAATATTTAATGGTACCTTGGAGCGGTCTTTGATGGGTGCGTCTTTAATTACAAGGCAACCTCGGGGCTTGGCGCTGGGCCTCCCCGCGCTCACTAACCGGGCTCTGGGCGCCAGCCTTGCCCTCCTACCAGGCAGCAACAAGGCAGTGGGATGGCAGTGTGGTGGGATGGTGGGATGGTGGGATGGTGGTGGGGGGGTAGGAGCAGCAACTCCCAGAGTGAGGCTTGGGGTTTACCCTCAGTCACCCCACTGACCCTCACACCCCTCTGAGCCTCACTTTCCACATCTCTGAAACAGAAGTCCAGTTTGCTCAAAAACATTTCCTGGCTGTGTGGCTTGAAGCAAGTGACTTACCTTCTCTGTGTTCGGTTTCTTCACAAAAGGGAGATGGTAATAATAGCACCTGTATTTTACGGCTGTAGATGGCATTGAACACATCATATGTGTTCACACTGATGAACACAGATGAAGGGCAGAGTTGGTATGGGCAAGCTGTCAGCATACGCTGTCACTCATGGTTTCTTCAGCCCAGACCACGTCCCTGGACAACCCCACGGCGTCCCTGGCCTTGGGAGCTTCTGTTCTAGTGGGGAGCAGATGGAGCAAACAAGGACAGATGCAGTGGAGGAAGACTACGAGGGGAGGACTTCCCGGCGGTCCAGTGGTTAAGAATCACCTGCCAGTGCAGGGAACACGGGTTCAGTCCTCAGTCTGGGAAGATTCCACAGGCTACAAGGCAGCTAAGCCCATGCACCACAACTTCTGAAGCCGGTGTGTCTAGAGCCTGTGCTCCGCAACAAGAGAAGCCACGGCAAAGAGAAGCCCTCGCAGAAAGACTGGAGTCTCCTTTAGAAAGGGAAGATCTTTTCTGGGAAAGAGGCCCTTAGGGATGCCAGTAGGGTGAGAAGGAGCTAGACAGGGGAGGCAGAGGGTGTGCATGTGTTGGGTGGACAGGGTTGTTCCAGGCTGAAAAGTGAGAGTGAAAGTCCCTCAGGCGTGTCCAACTCTTTGGGACCCCAGGGACTATACAGTCCATGGAATTCTCCAGTCCAGAATACTGGAGTGGGTAGCCTTTCCCTTCTCCAGGGGTTCTTCCCAACCCAGGGACCGAACCCAGGTCTCCTGCATTGCAGGCAGATTCTTTACCAGCTGAGCCACAAGGGGAGCCCAAGGATACGGGAGTGGGTAGCCTATCTCTTCTCCAGCAGATCTTCCTGACCCAGGAATTGAACCAGGGTCTCCTGCACGGAAGGTAGATTCTTTAGGAGAACAGCAAACGCAAATGTGCTGAGAGTGACAGAGAGACTGAGGAAGCTGGAGCAGGTGTGCGGCTGAGGAGGTAGGGGTGGGGGGGCCCTGCAGGGCCTCGGAGGTCATGTGAGACTCTGGAAATTGACTCAAAGTCAAACAGAAGGGTCACGAGCCAGTCGGTGTCTCCCAGCGACTCCCTGGTCACAGGCGGAGCCCACCAGGACGTTTGCTGTCAGGGAGCCAGGCTTGGCGAGAGGCCTGGGGCAAGGCGGGGCCCCAGGAGAGGGGGGCACCCTGGGGAGAGCAGGGAGAGCTGTCTGAGGGTCAGGTAGGGGGGGCCGGGCTGCACCAGGCCCTCTTCAGTGCTGGGGCCACACCCCGAGTCCCTGGGCATCTGGCCCGCTTGGCAGGTGGCCCTGGACACCACCTCCCTGGCTCTGGCTCCCCACTGCCTCCTCCCACCTGGGCAGCTCGTTTGGGCCACAGCCCTGAGCATTTCTGCTCTTGTTCAGCTCTGGCTATTTCTACCCCTAAATGGGGAGAGGGAAAACCACCCCTTCCCAGACACTTGGGTGGGGAGGAGGGCATCCCTCAGACCCCACACCAGAGGGCCAGGTGCCCAGAAGTCCCTGGAGGCTGTTTTAGGATTTTAGTTATTGAGCCTGGGGCCCTTAACCATCTGGCTAGGGAGCTAGGCCCCAGCCAAGCTGCTAGGGTGCCAGGCAGGGCATTGGGCTTGCCATAGGCAGGCAGAAAAAGCTGCTCTCTGACTCAGCCCTGGTCAGTCCTGGGCTCTGGCTGAACCTGGTTGCCAGCTGCCCTGGCCTCCCTGGCCTCTACTTCCCAGAGCTCCAGAACACTCCTGCCTCTGGCCTTTGGGGTCGGACCAGGGATACCCAGAGAATTCAAAGCCAGAGGGAACTGGGAGTCCTCTGTGCAGCTGGGGAAGCTGAGACCAGAGGGAAGAGGTTGCAGGCAGTAGATGATGTTGTCCATTCATGCGTCTGTCTCTGCTTCTTGCCTGTCTCTTGGGTCCACATGTTGGCAGCAGTGAGAAGCAACCCCCTTAAAAACCTCCAGAAAAAGATATTTGAGAAGAGCAGTCATTATGGCCCAAAAGATGCAAATATTTAAAATCTTTGTCAATAAGAGACAGTTGACTAGAAAAATGATACAGATGAACTTATTTGCAAAGCAGAAATAGAGACCAAGGGGAAAGTGTGTGTGGGGGATGGGAGGAATTGGGAGATTGGATTGACATATATGCACTACTATGTATAAAATAGATAACTAATGAGAATCTACTGTACAAGCTCAGGGAACTCTACTCAATGATCTGTGGGGACCTAAATGGGAAGGAAATCTGAAAAAGAGGGGACCTATGTATACATATGGTTGATTTACCTCACTGTACAGCAGAAGCTAACATAACATTGTAAAGCTACTATACTCCAATAAAAATTAATTTAAAAAAAGAGATAGTTGAAATGATGATGGGATAACGTCATGGAATACTATGCAGCCATTCAAAAGACCAAGGTCAATAGTTCTGAACAGAAGAGAAGCAGATTGGGAAATACATTTCAAAGCATGGAGGTGCACACCTGTGTGTGGTTGCAACCACCTCTGATAGACAGACTTGGGCAGCTGCATCTCTTAAAGAACACAGAAAATGCTAATGGGGCCTTGGGGACTGGAGTTAGGAGTGATGAAGGGGAGAATGACTTAATTTTTTTTCTCCATATACTAATGTATTCTTGATATATATATATGTACACACATATATAGATATACACACATATATACATATACACATTACACATATATACACACATCCACATATACAACATATACATATATACAGACATATATACATATATACCACACATATACTCACAGACACATATACACACATGTATACATATACACATATATACACACTATTCACATATACACACATCCACATATACAACATATACACATATACAGACATATATACATATATACCACACATATACTCACAGACACATATACACACATGTATACATATACACGTATATACACACTATTCACATATACACACATACACATATATACAAACATATAAACTCATATATACCACATATATACACACATACACATATACACACATATATCCATATACACATCTATATACCTACATAAAGGGGGTTTCCCTGGTGGCTCAGATGGTAAAGAACCCTCCGAAATATCTTATATATATATATGGCTGCACCAGGTCTTAGTTGCACATGCAAGGATCTTCAGTCTTCATTGCAACACAAAGGGTCTTTATTTGCTGCATGTGAACTCTTAGTTGTGGCATGTGGGATCTAGTTCCCTGACCAGGGATTGAATGCCAGGTCCCCTGCATTGGGGGCATGGAGTCTTAGCCGCTGGACCACCAGGGAAATCCTTCTTTACATTTTGATCATGCACCTGAACACTGTTTTAAAGAACATTTAAAAATATATTATTTGTCTGCATCAATTTTTAGTTGTGGTGCATGGGCTTAGTTGCTCCAGGGCATGTGGGACCCTAGTTCCCCACAAAAGGATCAAACCCATGTCCCCTGCTTTGCAAGGCTGATTCTTAACCACGGGACCAGCAGGGAAGTCCCTGAACAATTTTTTAAAGGAAGAATCTAGCCTAAGGATGAGGATAGCCAGCCTCTGATGAGCATCCCTCAATGGTTAATTAAGCCTTGAAATCCCAGGATCTTGTCCACTGATGAAATTTCTTCCTCCCCCATGAGCCTCCCTCTGGCTGACTCAGCTGAACCAAGTCACAGAGCCAGACTGAGAGATTGAGGTGCAGCCGGGCATGTCTGGGGTGACAAATGTGAGAACAATCAGCGAGAGCAATGGGGCGACACGGCCCAGCCTCCAAGGAGGCTGGAAGAAGGGTGTGACTCAGAGTGTTGAGCAAGGCAGGGGCCTGTGGCTGCAGGCCCCCCGTTACCACATTACCATGCTTGGCTAACCCAGAGAAGGCGCTCCGGAGTGATTCCTGGGCTGGAATCCCTGAGGGATGCAAATAGGTGTAAGATTCGCAGAGGGTCAAATCTGGACGGATACTTGATATCATTAACACTAAAGATAATAACCACACCAGGGACCATTTAATGAACGCTTAGGCCAGGCACCAGCTCGTGGAATCCTCGTTAACAGCCCTCTGAGAGGATTATCTGCATTTCCAGATGCCTCCAGGGAGGCTTAAACAACTAGATGTTCTCTTCTGCTAACAACTCCAAGCAGTTTCCCATTGCCCAGTCAGGCTACAGTCTGAGAGCTGTGTGACTTTGGGCAAGTTATTAACCTCTCTGAGTCTCACTTTCCTCCTCTGTGAATTGGACATAATCCATAATCCTTGTTTCATAACCTGCTGCTGCTAAGTCACTTCAGCCGTGTCCGACTCTGCGACCCCATTGATGGCAGCCCACCAGGCTCCCCCGTCCCTGGGATTCTCCAGGCAAGGACACTGGAGTGGGTTGCCATTTCCTTCTCCAATGCTTGAAAGTGAAAAGTGAAAGTGAAGTCGCTCAGTCGTGTCCGACTCTTAGCGACCCCATGGACTGCAGCCCACCAGGCTCCTCCGTCCATGGGATTTTCCAGGCAAGAGTACTGGAGTGGGGTGCCATTGCCTTCTCCATGTTTCATAACCTAGTCCTATGCAAATAAGTCAGTGATCGTAAAATACTTGTAACCAGGACTGGCTCGTGATAAGCCTGTGTTTTCACTATGGCCCCGTGTTTTAAGCAAATCCAGAATGTCAACAATTGTAAAAGCTGCCACTAAAGAAAAGAGGAATGCTGCCAGTTAACTGTGTCCCAAGGCTCTTTCATCACTGGACTCGACTTTATCCTCCCGAGGGAGCTCTTTTTGCCTTAGACATAGATTCTCATCATACAGAATTCGGATGCACACATAAAAAGGAAAAGAGAAGCAAAATAGTTTATGGTGTGCAGAAAACTCCTTTACATTTGGAATCTGACAGAGGGGGGATGCTGGTGTGTTTCCCTGTCACCCACTCCTGTGAGGTGAGAAACGGGAGAGCACTCTTCCCCACCACCGCACCTCCTCAATTCATAAGTGTAAGTGTGAAAGTGTTAGCCTCTCAGTCCTGTCCGACTCTCTGTGACCCCATGGACTGTAGCCCACCAGGCTCCTCTGTCCATGGGATTCTCTAGGCAAGAATACTGGAGTGGGTTGCCATTCCCTTCCCTAGGGGATCTTCCTGACCCAGGGACTGAACCCCCGTCTTCTGCATTGCCGGCAGAAACCCACCAGTAGCCATTGGAGTCCTAAGCCAGCCATGCAGGTCTGCAGAGCAAGCTGACTCTGGATTCCTGCTTCGGGAGTGTTGCTGACAAATCTGGTTCCCCTCCACTGGGAGCCCCCACCATTTGGAGCCTGGGATTAAGAGTGCTCTGCTCTTGTCTCTGGGATTTTCTTCCAGGCTGCCGACGCCCTTTCTGCAGGGTTGGATGCTTTTGAAGTGTGGGCACGTGCAGGCAATGACAACGATGTCAGGACTGCCGCCAGCTAGCCAGCGACTCTACCATGTAACCCGACTTTAGAGATTGAAATGTGAGAAATAAAGTGTCTGGAAATCTATGAAACATGAATAATTTCTGGACTTCACACTTCCAGCTGCCACAGAACCCTTGCACATTCTGCTTGGGCCTCTGGGAATGCCCTTCCTTCATCCCACATCACCTGCTTAACTCAGTCATCCCTGATCACAGCTGCGCGGTCACTGCCCTCCTCCCTCACCATGCGTCTCCTGATCATCCCACTGAAGTCAAATCCCTCCCCTGTCAATGCACATAGCACAGCTGCAACATTACCTTTTGGGTGTGTGTGTGCGACTTTCTGCATAGCTATCTCCCCAGCGTGCTGTGCATCCCCGCGCGGGGGTGGGGGGGGGGGAGCAACGTGACTTTTTACTACATCTCGGTACCCAGCAGTGTCCCATGAGGCGCCCCCTAGTGAGCAGTGGGGGAACTAGAGTATCCTGGTTTATCCCCAAGACATACCTCTGGTCTCTGCATTGAACTGCATCCCTCAGATGCTGGATTCTAACCCACTTCTTTTACAGATGGGAAATCAAGGCTCGTGAGGTCACTAGCACATGGAGTAGACGTCGTGTTTCAGTCCGGTGTATAAAGAGGCTGGGGGAGGGTGGGGTCTGAGGAGGGGTACTCGCTTCTGGTGGGGATTCAGAGGAGGCTTGATGTGGGAGGCAGCCCCTCCCTAGAGTCACAGGTTGGGAGGGTGGTTTGGGTGAGTTTGAGAAAGGAAAGCCAGGCAAGTTGGAAGACGCACCGTGGGTGCCTAGTGTCACCATATAAGGCCTGGAACCCTTTCTGGGGCCCTGGAAGATGCAGGGCTGAGGTCACTCTCTTCAGTTTCAAGTTGGGCAACCAAGGCCCAGAGAAGGGGAGGACTCACCCACCGTTGTCCACGGAGCCAGGAGAGCGGTGGGCCTTGCTCCTGGGTGGCCCTGAGTCCACTTTCGCCGGCTGACCTCTGGGCCGGCCCTGCCCGAGATGCTGGGAGGATGTGGAGTGGCGAAAGGGGGGCTGAGGCAGGACTCTGGGGGTGCATAGGCCCGTCAGCACCCGGAAGGAGGAAGCGGCACAGGGTGTCTGTGGCTGGGCCTGGGATCTCCCCCTCTCGGGGACTTCCTCTTCCTCTCAGGGCAGGTGTAGCTACCCAGCGGGACCAACACCCTGACCCCGTCATGGATGGGGGCAAGGGGCCCAGGATCAGAGACTTCCTGAGTGGCAGCCTGGCCACCTGGGTGAGGGTGCAGTGGGAGGGGGGCCTGGGGGGAGGAAACGAGCAGCAGGGGGCGGCTGGTGTGGGCGTAAGGGGAGAGGGGGCAGAGTGGGGCGTGGTGGGGGGAAGGGGCTGAGGGGAGGGGTGGGCTTAAGTGGGGACGGAGAAGTCCAGGCAGCTGTGGGAAGGAAAAGGTGTCTGGACCCAGGGCCACTGGCATTCAGGGAGCGGGTGAGGAGGGGACTATGTGGGTGCAGGGCGGCAGGTCAGAGGGGCTCAGGATTCACTCTGGTAGTGGGGGTCTCCCCCGCCCCGCGCCCAGGCAGGCCAGATGACTCGTTTGTGCTCCCACAGGCGCTGGGACTAGCCGGGCTGGTGGGGGAGGCGGAGGAGCCGGAGGGGGAGGAGGAGGAGGAAGGAGAGGGGCCTCTGTGTCCGGAGAAGAGGTTCTTGCGTCTCAGCGATGGGGCCCTGCTCCTGCGGGTGCTGCGCATCATGTAAGGGGCATCAGAGGATGACCTGGAGGGGGGCGGGGCGTGAGGGGAGGGGGCCAGGCGGCCTGGGGGGAGGAGCCTGAGGGGTGGCTGGCAGAGCCTGCTTCAGAGGAGGTGGGTCCTCAATCTTCCCTTCCACCGGTTGCTCCCCACCCCCCCACCCCGTGCCCAAAGTGCTCCCAGTTCCCGAGGGGGCCCTCGAATGATCAGGGGCCGTGACAGCCCCGCAGCCTGGCGGGTGTGGAACCTGAACCACCTGTGGGGCCGACTGAGGGACTTCTACCAGGTGAGGGGGCGGGAGGGGGAGGCTGAGCCCGGGAGCCCCCCTGGGGGAGGCCCATCTCTTATCGTCGGCCCCCTCTACCCCAGGAGGAGCTGCAGCTGCTGATCCTGTCGCCGCCCCCAGACCTCCAGACGCTGGGCTTTGACCCCTTCTCAGGTGCTCTCTCCTACCACCCCTCCACCCCTTCCAGCTTCTACCCGCTGTCCCTCCCGGTTAACCCCTTGTGGCTTGTGCCCTGCAGAGGAGGCGGTGGAGGAGCTGGAAGGCATCCTTAGGCTACTGCTGGGGGCGTCAGTGCAGGTGAGCGGGGCAGGGAAGGGCAGGGTCCAGCTCTGGCCGCAGAGGTGGCGGGATGCCCTCTGGCGCCAGTCTCACCGCCCCCTCCTTGCCCCCCTGCAGTGTGAGCACCGGGAACTGTTCATCCGCCACATCCAGGGCCTCAGCCTGGAGGTTCAGAGCGAGCTGGCTGCTGCCATCCAGGAGGTAAGATGCTTGGGCTGCCCTCGGGGACACCGGCCCCCTTCTTCTTCTTTGGCTGAACTGCTCTCCCTGGGCTCCAGGTGACCCAGCCCGGGGCGGGCTTGGTGCTGGCGCTGACTGGGCCGGAGACTGGGGAGCTGGCAACTCCGGAGCTGGAGATGCTCTCCCGGAGCCTGATGGGGACACTGCTGAAGCTGGCACGGGAGCGCGACCTGGGGGCCCAGGTAGGGGGCAGCAGGCCAAGGAACAGGAGGACCGTGGGGATCCAGACATGTGGGGGAGGGGCACTGGGGTCCAGGTGTGGGGCTGGGGTTGTGGGTCTTGGGTCCGCAGGGCTGCAACAGCCAGATTTAGCTTGGGTAATTGGGGGCGGATGTGGAGGTCCTGGGAGGGGTTGCTTCTGACCCTTGACCTCCCACAGCGGCTGGCCGAAGTGCTGCTGGACCGGGAGCCTGCCCCCTTGTTGCCTGAGACTCCCGCCAGGATTCCCTCGGAGGGGGCCTCGCGCACCTTGGCCCTGCAGCTGGCCAATGCCAAGGCCCAGCTGCGGCGCCTCCGGCAGGAGCTGTGAGTACTGGAAGGGACCTGGGGGCAGGCGGCAGGATGGGGTCCCGGTTGGGATCAGGGCTGGAGGAAAAGGGCTGGGAGGGGCAGGTCCCCAGACACTTCCTGCGTGCCTTCCCTCCAGCGAGGAGAAAGCAGAGTTGCTGCTGGATTCCCAAGCGGAGGTGCAGGGCTTGGAGGCCGAAATCCGAAGGCTCCGCCAGGAGGTGCGCTCAGATGTCCCCAGGCATGGTCGCGCGTTCCTTAACCCCTTCCCCGCACCTTCCCCGTCCTCCTGCCTCCTCCAACCCGGTTCCTTCCCGTCCCAATCCCTGTGGCTGGCGGGTGGCCCGTCCTAGCTCCGCACCCGTCTGGCTCAGGCCCAGGCGCTGACGGGACAGGCCAAGCGGGCCGAGCTGTACCGCGAGGAGGCAGACGCGCTGCGGGAGCGGGCGGGCCGCCTGCCCCGCCTGCAGGAGGAACTGCGACGATGCCGAGAGCGCCTCCAGGCTGCCGAGGCCTGCAAGGGCCGGCTAGAGGTGAGGCGGGAGGCGGGGCTGCGGGGCTGGGCGTAGGGTGGGCGTGGGCGCTGGGGACCGGGTGGGCCAAGAGAGGAGAGAGTTTGGCCGAGAGTCAGGCCTTAGTGGAGGCCCCAAGCATTGCTAGGAGAACGGGGTGAGGGGGTGTCTGGGGCTAGGCCCTTTGGAGGATGGGGCAGGTGGAGGGGAGCGGTGGAGGCTGTAGGCAAGGCTAGGTCCTGGAGAGGAGGGTGGGAGCGGTAGGGGAGGCAGCGTCTATAGCACCAGCAATGGGGCTGAGGGGGGCCTAGAAGGGTGCCACCTTGGAAGGCCGTTCTTGAGAAGGGGCAGGGCCTACACAGGAGAAGGGCGGGGCCCGGTGCTGGGGGAGTGGTCCCTGGAGAGAACTTGGAGAGGGAGGGGCAGATGGAGGGGAGAGGCGGGGCCTGGAGAGCCACTAGGGTGCGGGGTCAGATGCGGGGGGAGCCTGGAATGCGCGCGGGGTCGGGGGGGGGCGTCCCGCCACCGACTCTCTGCTCCCCACCAGGAGGAGCGGGTGCTCTCGGGGACTCTGGAGGCCTCCAAGGCGCTCCTGGAGGAGCAGCTGGAGGCCGCTCAGGAGCGCTGTGCTCGGCTGCACGAGACCCAGCGTGAGAACCTGCTGCTGCGGACTCGGCTGGGCGAGGCCCAAGCGGTGAGACCCCCGGTCACTCAGTGATCCGTGACCTCAGAGGTCCCTAGGGTACCTTGGTGACCGCTGACTCCTACTTCCTGATTCCTCTGCGTGTGTGTGTGTGTGTGTGTACACTCAGTCATGTCCAGACTCTGCGACCCTACAGACTCTAGCCCACCAGGCTCCTCTGTTCATGGGATTCTCCAGGCAAGAATACTGCAGTGGGTTGCCCTTTCCTTCCAGTGACCCTCTAGCCCCCACACTGGGGCTGGCCATAGCGGGGAGGGCTTGCCTGACCCTGCTCTCCCCTCCAGGAGCTGGACTCCCTGCGGCATCAGGTGGACCAGCTTGCAGAAGAGAATGTGGAGCTGGAACTGGAGCTTCAGCGGAGCCTGGAACCACCCCCAGGCTCCCCTGGGGAGGGTGAGCGGGGCCCCAGTGGCAGGGCTGCGGATGGGAGCTGCCTCTGTTTCCCTGTAGCTACTGGGGCTTCCGTAGTGGTTCAGACAGTAAAGAATGTCTGCAATGCAGGAAACCCAGGTTCAGTCCTGGGGTTGGGAAGATCCCCTGGAGAAGGGAATGGCTACCCACTCCAGTATCCTTGCCTGGAGCATCCCATGGACAGAGGAGCCTGGCGGGCAACAGACAAGGGGTCGCAGAGTCAGACACGACTGAGCAACTAACACTTTCCCTCTTTTTTTTTCTTAGTGGGGTTGGCTTCTGGTTTCATCCCCTCCCCCCAGGTCTGGTGTCAGAGGTGGGGGTGTATGTGAGGAGTCGTAAGGGAGCAGGGGGTCCTGACTGCATCTTCCACACCCCAGAACCCCTGCCTGGAGCCGCTTCTTCGCTGCATGATGAAGTGAGGGAGGCAGAGGCTGGGCGGCTGCGGACCCTGGAGCGGGAGAATCAGGAGCTTCGAGGCCTGCTCCGGGTGCTGCAGAGGCAGCCAGGTGGCCAGGTGAGCCCCCTTCAACCATTGCAGGCCCTTCCTGGCCACCTCCTCTGGGTTTGACCATCCCTCTCATGTGCCCTCATGAAAAGACCCTGTGCCCTCATTTGAAAAGATCCTGATGCTGGGAAAGATTGAAGGCAGGAGGAGATGGGGACGACAGAGGATGAGATGGTTGGATGGCATCACTGACTCAATGGACATGAGTTTGAGTAAACTCCGGGAGTTGGTGATGGACAGGGAGGCCCAGTGTGCTGCAGTCCATGGGGTCGCAAAGAGTCAGACATGACTGAGTGACTGAACTGAACTCATGTGCCCTTAGCCCCCCCTACTGGAGGAGCAGAACGAAGACTCGGTGATTCAAGAGCCGGACTCAGCTCTGCAGACTTGCCTGGCCTCAGACCCCGACCCCCAGGCCTTGGCTGCTCAGGCAGCGGATGAAGGCCCCCAGGCCTCAGACCCAGCTCCCTTGGCATTTGAGTCAGCCCTTGAGGGGGCAGCATCTGATCTGGACCCGCAGGTGGTGGAGAGGCCTCTCCAGACGGATGTCGTGGTCCCTGCAGACTCCATGCCCCAGGAGTCAGACCCCGACACAGAGGCACAGGAGTTCCCAAAGAAGGCTGGTCTGGGACCCCCTCTCCGGACCCCTGCCTCTGTGACCCCACCTCAGAGTCCCGAGGTTAACATTCAGGCCCAGCTGTCTCTGGGAGGAGAGACTGGGGAGTCGGTGCCGGAGGCCCCGAGGGTAAAACAGGAGGACCCTGAGAGCAAGCCGGGACCCTCGGAGACCAGCCTGTGTGTGCGGTTGGAGGAGCAGGGGACCCTAGACCAGAGGCTGGACCTATCCGAGGGGCAAACAGAGGCCAGAGAGCATGAACAGAGGGTGGGGGGGTTGGTCGCGGATGCAACCGAACAAAAGCCGCAGAAGAAACTGGAAGGGGCTCCTGAGGTCCGGACCCGGGAGGCGTGGGCCCCCGAGGAGATCCTGGTCAGTGGTGTCCCCCAGCGGGAGGCCCTCCAGGAGGAGGCGGTGCGGCTGAAGCGAGAGGCTGAGGCCCTCCGAGCAGATCTGGAGGCCCAGGCCCGGAGGCTGGAGGCCCGAGGCACGGAGGCTGCCCGCCTCTCGGAAGAGCTGGCTCAGGCCCGGAGGGCAGAGGCTGAGGCCCACCGGGAGGTGGAGGCCCAGGCCCGGGAGCTGGCCCGGTTGCGGGAGGCGGTGGAGTCTTCTGCCCGGGAGCTGGAGGCTGCGTCGCGAGAGCGGGAGGCGCTGGCGGAGGCGCTGGCAGCAATCGGCCGTGAGCGGAGGCAGTGGGAGCGAGAGGTGCCCAGGCTGCGGGCCCGAGCCGAAGAGGCCGAGGAGCAGCTGCACGTGCTGGAGGGCGAGGGCCGCAGGCACCTGGAGGAGGCTGAGAGGCAGCGCCGGGAGAAGCAGGCCCTCCAGGAGGTACGGTGGGGCTCATGGCCAGGAGACAGGGTTCCAGGCCAGTTGCTGGGGCTTGGGGGTTATTAATTCCATCAGCAACCACCGAGTACCCAGCACTGAGCTGGGGCTGGAGAGGGAAGGGCAAAGTCCACTCCTGCCTCAAAAGGCGCACCTGGCCTGGGACCGGGGCAGATGGCCCCTGCCTTTGATGGGATGGCTGTAGGAGGTGGTGGGCATGGAGCTAGATGGCCTGGGTGCAAATCCTGACTCTCTGACTGTGGCGGTTTACTCAGTTGCACCCCAGTGCCTCCCTCTGTAAAAGGGGGGTGCTCTTCATAGCTGCCTCAGTGGGGCTTTGGAAGGCGGATGGAAATAATGGTGTGAAGAGCCTAGTTCATGGTGGGCAAAGGCTCAAGATACGTTGGTTGTCCTGGGCAAAGTGCTTTGGTAATCCATGGGAATGGGAACTGATGCCAGGGTTGGGGCAAGAAGGCTTCAGGGAGGGTTCTAAGGAAAGATCGAGATTTCACTAGGTGGGGAGGGATATTTCATCCAGGCGGAACAGCAAGTGCAAAGACTTGAAGGTGTTAGAAATGCTGAGGGGCCCGGGAGACATGGGGGTAGGTGGAGAGGTGTGTCAGGCCAGCTTTGTGGGTATTGGTACTTCATCCCCAGGCAGAAGAAATTCACCCAAGGTGTGGGCCAACCTGTGTGATGCTGGGTTTGGGGAGAGTCACCTTGGTGTACAAGGGGACCTGGGGCCATAGGAAGGCAGTGCCCGTGGTTAAGTTGGTAGGTGAGAGAATTCCCTGGTGGTCCAGTGGACTCTGCATCCAGTACAGGAAGCACAGTTTCGGTCCCTGGTCAGGGAACTAAGATCCCGCAAGTTGCATGGCGTGGCCAAAAAAAAGAAAAAAAAGTGGCAGGTGAGGTGGGCCGGAGCTGGGATGGGGGTTGGAAAAGAGAGAAAACCTGGAAACCCCTGTATTCATTCATTGAAGCATGTTTGCGGGCATCTTCTTGGCACCAGGCCCTGTACTAGGCAGCCAGCCCTCGCAGCCTCTGGGAGACACTTACTCACGATCTGGGGTGGAGACAGGACTGTGCGGGGAGCCGTAGGGGTCCAGGAAGCACACTGGACTCGGGCTGGGGTTCATCAGGGAAATTCTTGGAGGAGGAGAGAGAATGGCAATGAGCCAGGAGGAGGAGCAGGCCCGTTTGCAGGGGTGGAGCAAGAGGCAGGGGGTGGAGCGAGGTGACATGAAGACTTCCTTAAGCAGGTTTCCTATTGGGCAAGGCTTCATCTTCCTTCCAAGCAAAGGAAGGAGTTGCAGCTGTTTTCACTAGGGACAAGGAGTCAGTGGAGGGTATAATGTGAGCAGAGTGGTCAGATCTGCAGGTCTGGAGGCTCCTCAGAGGAAGCAGAACAGACCATGAGGCAAGGGGATGGGTGTTTGGGCCAGTGTGGCCCAGGGCTGGGGTGAGGGTATGCTGCTGCAGCACACGTGTGCTCAATCATGTCTGACTCTTTGTGACCCCCTGGACTGTAGCTCGCCAGGCTCCTCTGTCCACGGAAGTTTCCAGGCAAGAATACTGGAATGGGTTGCCATTTCCTACTCTAGGGGATCGTCTGAACTCAGGGATTGAAACTGCGTCTCTTGCATCTCTTGCATTGGCAGGCAGATTCTTTACCACTGGTACCACTTGGGAAGTATCAAATCTTCTGGAAGCTGAGCAGTTTCCCTGTTACACAGAGCAGGGACTGAGGTTCAGAGAGGAGAAATTATTTGTTCCGAGACACCTCCTGATGGTGAGGAGTCAGCAACATGCTGTTGGCTTGGTCTGGGGCGTGTGAGAATTGAGAGTGTGGGTGAGAGGGTAAGGCCAAGAGCTTGTCTCTGGGGTCCACTCTGGAGGAGCTGAGAGATGCTAGCAGAAAGATCTGGGTTATAGCTCAGCTCCCCTAGTCAGCTATGTGGCTTGGGGCCAGTTACTTAACCTCTCTGAGTCTCCGTTTCCTTACCTGTAAAACCAGAATAAAAATGATACCTATGTCACAAGATCCTGGAAGATAATGAATGTAGAGCGCTTGGGGCAGCGCCTGGCACTCAATATGGGCTTAATCAGCGGACAGGGAATGCCAGCCGGTGGGTAGGGAAGAACCGGTAGAGCTGGCCAGCCAAAAGAGCCGGCTTTGAGGACCAAGCAGGTAGAAGACATTAAGGACAAAGGGGAATTTTGTGAGATTTCCTGGTGGAGCAGTTCCTGGTGATAACTGGGCGTGGTGCGGGAGGAGGTGGCTGGCCAGGGGAGGGAGATTAGGGAACCAGGGGCCAAGGGGTTTGTCCAAGAGGGCCTCCCCGCTGCAGGGGCCAGTGGGGGGAGGAGGCGCAGTGGGTGGGGCCCTGGGGGCTGTGGCCAGGGTCTGGAGGGGGCAGGACAGGGGTCCGACCTGAGATGCAGGTCTTGTGGGCATCCCTGTTCTGCCTGCTCTCCGTCCTGGGGCTCTTGTGGCTGGGGGCTGTGAGCAGCATGGCCTTGTGGGACTTTTAGTTTTTCAGCAAGAGGCAGTGGTCAAGGGTGTCTGGAAGTGCAGTGACCCCGGGGGCTGGCCCGGGTGGAGTTGCTAAGCCAGGATAACCAGAGCACAGATGGGTAGGCTCCATTTCCAAGAGCAGGACTTGGTGGGCGGCTGTCATGGTTGGCCCTTCCGCGTGGTTTCATCCTGCTGGAGCCCCCCCACCCCCACCCTGTACCTCAGAATGGTTTGACCTACCTCTCTGGGGGCGGGGACCACAGGCCAGAGCGGGTCTCCTACCCACTTCCTCAATGGTATGGCCCAACCGCCACAGGCCTGGTCAGCAGCAAGCATCCTGGCCCTCCCCCTCCCAGCTCCCACTGTGGTTAGGCCTGGCCTTCACCAAGTTCCTGCCCTCTGTGGCCATCCCCCTGTGGCTGAGAGTATTCTCCAGACCCGCTGCCTCTGAGCCCCTCTTCCCCTCAACTGCCCTGTGTGACCTCAGCACGCAGGGAGCATCCAGCTGTCACTGGGCACATGAGGAACCATGGTTTCAAAGAGGTGAAGACGTGCCCAGCGAGTGTCTCTGAGCCCTGGTCCAGGGGCTTCCTCACTTCTTGGCAGGCTTATAATCTCCGGCTCTTTCATACCCCCTCTGCAAGGTCATCAGGCTTTGCTCCCATTTTACAGATGGGGGAGTAGAGGACCAGAGAGTTAATGATATTTGCTTGGGGTGACAGAGCAAGGACAGAAGGCCAGGTCTCCTGACTCTCAGGCCTGGTGAGGGTGGCGGTCTACCTTTCTGGCCCTGAGCCCACTCTGCCTGCCCTCAGGAGCTGGAGAAGGCTGTGGTGCGGGGCCGGGAGCTGGGGGCCCGGCTGGAGCGTCTGCAGAATGAGCTGGAACGGGCAGCCCTGGAACGCCAGGAATTTCTGCGGGAACAGGAGTTCCAGCACCAGAGGTGGGGCACTGCCCGAGGGGCAGAGAGGGGCAGGTAAAGATCTGGGGAGGGCTGGGTGCTAAGACTTCTCCTGGCAGGTACCAGGGCCTGGAGCAGCGGCTGGAAGCTGAGCTGCAGGCGGCGGCCACCAGCAAGGAGGAGGCACTGATGGAGCTCAGAAAGAGGGCCCTGCAGTTGGAGGACGAGCTGTTCAAGGTGAGGCCACCGCCCAGGTTGCTGGGGCCTGAGCCCACCCCTGTCTCCATCCTCGGGTAGGTACTTCAGGGCTCCCCTCTTGTCTCGCCCCTTGCACCCCATTTCAGGGCCTGTAGGAGGAAGCGCTGTGCTGGGAGCCAGGTAGCTCTGCCCGGGCCTTGTTGTCCCCATTCTTCAACCCGACTGAGCCTGGCAGCTTGACTCTGAGGCACCTGCTGTGTCTCTCCTGCGGGGGCCCCACCACTTCCTGAGCTCAGCGCCGACGGTTATAAGTCAGGAATCATTTCTGATGCCCTTGTTGCACACGGCTCGGCACCAGTGTGGTGCGGGCCCCATACCAGGCCGCCACTGCCCTTGGCGGGGCTCACAGTCCACCTAGGACAGAACATAGCCAGCGGGTCCCCAGCAGACCACCCGGCCAGCAACTGTGGGATTGCCAGGGGAGGTTTGCTGTGCTGCCCCGAGACCCCTGCCACGCCCTTGTGTGACCTCCCAGGGCTTCTCCTTGCAGCTGCGCCAGGGCGCTGCGGGGCTGGGGTCCCAGGAGAAGACAGAGCCCAAGGGCACGGAGGCCCAGAGCGTGCGGCTTATCGAGGTGGAGCGCACTGTGAGTGTCGGGCTGGTGGGCGCAGGGCTGGGGGGGCAGGCGGCAGTGTCCCGGAGACCTGGCCCCCTGCTAACCACCCTCCCTCCCCACCCACCCGATAGAATGCCACGCTGGCAGCAGAGAAAGCTGCTCTTCAGGGCCAGCTGCAGCACCTGGAGGGGCAGCTGGGGAGCCTGCAGGGGCACGCCCAGGAGCTGCTGCTGCAGAGTCAGCGGGCCCAGGAGAACAGCAGCCGCCTGCAGGTGGGCCCGGCCCCCCATCCCCTCCTGCCCACGGCCCGCCCCCGACCCCCACTCCTACCCGCCTGCTGGCCTCCAGCACCCCTGTCAGTGCCCCTTTCACCCCGTCTCCAGCCCTCCCCTCCACGGCCGGCCATCAGTCCCTCTGGCCTTCCCTGCCCCAACCCCAGCCCCATCTGTCCCCTCCCCGCCTTGTGCCACTGGCCGTCGGCTCCCCGACACTGTCTCTCCTTTCCTCCACCCTCTGCCTTCTGCCCCCCCATCCCTTACCCCCCTTTCCGGCTTGGGATGCCCCCCGCAGCAGCCCCCTACTCCGCTCCCCACTCTGGCCTAGGCCGAGAAGTCTGTACTGGAGACTCAGGGCCAGGAGCTGCACCGGAAGCTGGGGCTGCTGGAGGAGGAGGTGCAGGCAGCACGGCGCTCCCAGGAGGAGACCCGCGGACAGCAGCAGGCCCTGCTGCGGGACCACGAGGCCCTGGCGCAGCTGCAGCGGCGGCAGGAGGCTGAGCTGGAGGGGCTGCTGGCCCGGCACCGCGACCTCAAGGCCAACATGCGGGCTCTGGAGCTGGCCCATCGGGAGCTGCAGGGCCGGTGAGCACCCCCCCCAAGCTCACAGCTCCTCTCCTGGGTGCCCTCTGTCCGCCCAGAGCGGGCCCCCTGTTCCCTGAGAACCACCAGCAGGCTGTGCCCTCTTGTGCGGCAGGGCTCTCTGCACTTCTGGGGTGGGCTCACCCTGGGGCTTCATCGGTGGTCCGGAGTGGTGGGTGCCTGGCACAGCATTCTGCCCTGTGGCTTTGCCCCCCTGTGGCCTATGCTTAGGAGATGGAGGACTTCCAGACGGTCCAGCTGCCTGCTTGCCCTGGCCCCGGTCCTTGCAGCCCCCTGAACCCCTGGTTCATCGCAGGCACGAACAGCTGCAGGCCCAGAGGGCCAACGTGGAGGCGCAGGAGGTAGCCCTGCTGGCAGAGCGTGAACGCTTGGTGCAGGATGGGCATCGGCAGCGGGGCCTGGAGGAGGAGCTCCGGAGGCTGCAGAGTGAGCATGACAGGTACCAGCCCGGGCACAGCCCCTCCTCTCCTGGGCCAGTCCTCAGTGTTCCCATCTGTGAAGTGGGTTGATGGTGAGTTAGTCCCTTTCCTCACGGGGTCCCGCTTTGTCGCCTGTCCTCTTCTTGGTTCCTCTGCCATCAGGAAGGACCCAGTTGAGGTGGGGTTGGGGGGAGGTTCCTCCTGGAGAGCAGATCTCCTTGCCTCTGCAGGGCTCAGATGCTGCTGGCGGAGGTGTCCCGGGAGCGCGGGGAGTTATAGGGGGAACGCGGGGAGCTGCGGGGTCGGCTGGCTAGGCTGGAGCTGGAGCGGGCACAGCTGGAAGCCCAGAGCCAGCGACTGCGGGAGTCCAACCAGCAGCTGGACTTGAGTGCCTGCCGGCTGACCACGCAGTGCGAGGTGCGGTGAGGGGTGGGTGGCTGGGGAGGGAGGGCGGCTGGAGGGGAGGGTGGGGTTGGAAAGAGCCAGGATCGGGTGGAAGGCCGCTGCCCTGAGCCCAGTTAAGTGTCCCCCAGCCGCCCCTTCTTGCTTGTCCTGCTGTCTGCCTGTGACAGCTGTTGATGGAGCTCCGGAGCACCCAGGAAGAGGAGAACCGGCAGCTGCTGGCCGAGGTGCAGGCGCTGAGCCGGGAGAACCGGGAGCTCCTGGAGCGCAGCCTGGAGAGCCGGGACCACCTGCACCGCGAGCAGCGCGAGTACCTGTGAGGGGCCACGGGGGCTGGCGTGGCTGCCCCTTGGGACGTTTATGGGGCAATTCCCTGGGAAGGCCTGGGGAAAGGGGAGGCTGACCCTCCCGGGGGCTCGGGCAGCACAGTGTATCAACCCATCCTGGGGCATGTGGCTGCTTAACCAGCAGGGGTGTACCCGTGTGTACCCGTGTTCCTGCCCAGGCCTCAAGCCCACCTCCTCCCTCCCCATCCTCCCAGGGACCAGCTGAATGCCTTGCGCCGGGAGAAGCAGAAGCTGGTGGAGAAAATCATGGACCAGTACCGCGTGCTGGAGCCTGGGCCCCTGCCCCGGACCAAGTGAGCGGGCCCTTCCACCCCGGCGGGCCGGAGGTCTTCCCTACCTTGCCCCTGCCCTGCCCTCTGAGCCCTGGCCCAGCCCGGGTCCAGGCCCAAGTGAGGGCTGGCCTGGCCTCTGCCACCCCCAACATGGCCTTCTTGTCCTTCTTCCCTGGCATGACCCCCCTCTTGTGCCCTCTTGCCCCCAGGAAGGGCAGCTGGCTGGCAGACAAGGTGAAGAGGCTGATGCGGCCCCGGCGGGAGGGGGGCCCCCATGGGGGGCTGCGCCTGGGGGCCGATGGGGCTGGCAGCACCGAGAGCCTGGGGGCCCCCCCAGAGACGGAGCTCCCCGAGGGCAGGGAGGCAGATGGGACAGGTGGGTCTGGGGCGCCCCCGCCCCCAGGGGCTTGCCAGTGCCCCCGGTCTTCCTGTGTGGTTTGTGCATGTGTCCCCCACTGGCCTTTCCTGCTGCAGCTTCCCCTCCCCTGCCCTCCCCCCATCAGATGGTTCCAGTGACTCTCTGCCCTGGGTCCCTGCTGTGTCCCTCTTGGCTGTCACCTCCCTCCCGCCCTCACTGCCACCCACCCAGTCCTACCCATCCAGAGCGGTGCCTAGGACCTCGGAGCAGCAGGGACTTTAGTCAGAGGTCACTTATCCCAGACAGCAGACGAGGAAGCCGAGGCTCAGGGAGGGGAAGCACCTTGCCCAAGGTCACACAGTGAGTTAGTGTCAGAGCCAGCACAGGGTCCTGCCCCCAGTCGCCACCTCCATTCATTCAACCTTGCCCCACCCCCTGGCTCCCAGCCCCCATCTCTGCAGCCTCCTGTCCTCTGTGGTGCCCTGCAGCTTCCTCCTGCCAGTCCCGCCCCCCCTGCCCCTGCCCCCGAATCCCCAGCACCGCCCCCACCCCGGCACTGCTCGGACACCCCCCCACCCCTGCCTGTGCCTCTTGCAGGGTCCCCCTCACCGGCACCCATGCGCCGGGCACAGAGCTCCCTGTGTCTGCGGGATGAGACACTGGCGGGTGGGCAGCGGCGGAAACTCAGCTCTAGATTCCCCATGGGGCGAAGCTCTGAGTCATTCAGTCCTGGGGACACCCCCCGGCAGCGATTCCGACAGCGGCGCCCAGGGCCCCTGGGGGCACCCAGCTCCCATGGCAAAGGTGAGGGAGAAGGGTCCCTGGGGGCCCACCGGCTCCTTGGGGGAGGGGGCTTCCCTCCTGGCTCCGGTGTCTGCCCACCCGCCCTGCTGCCTCTGTCTGGCCCTCATGGCCCAGTGGCCGCCTTGTGCCCCCAGGACCTGGTGTGGGATGGGGCGGCTCCATCGAGACCCTGGCGGAACACGAAGCAGATGCCAACAGAGAGAGTGAGTGGGGGTCTGGGAGGAAGGTGGGTATTTGCCCTTCCTGGACCCCTTGCAGGCCTTGTTCACCCATTCACTCATCTGACCATGAGCCTTTCTGGAATGCCAGGTGATGTGTTACTTGGGAATATAACAGAGAACGTTGCGGTATGGGGAGCTGGGAGACAGCACATGATATGCATAAAAATAATAATTATCTACAATAGCTTGTCCAATAGAACTATGACGTGAGCTCCACGTGTAATTTAAAATGTTTAGGTAAAAAAAAAAAATAAAATAAAATGTTTAGGTAGCCTCATCAAGGGATCTTTGCGACCCCCATGGACTGTAGTCTGCCAGCCTCCTCCGTCCATGGGATTTTCCAGGCAAGGATACTGGCGTAGGTTGCCATTTCCTTTTCCAAGGGATCTTCCTGACCCAGGGATCAAACCTGGGTCTCCTGCATTGCAGGCAGACTCTTTACCACCTGGGCCACCAGGGAAACCCCCATCAGAGGAAGTAATGAGATATGTAAAATTAATTAATATTAGCATATTAACATATTATATAAATATATGATATATTTAATATACTATATATCATATATTTAATACATTTAATAAATTATACATCAATATACCAACATACTCTATTAATCCATATTAATATATATTAATATATTTCAATATCACAACATATATTGATACGTTAATAACATTATTAACATATATTTACACTGATTATTAATATATGTTAATAACACATCATTAACATATATTTATATTAGAATATTAATATATTTTGTTTAACTCAGTATGCCTAAACTATTACATTTTAGACATGTAGTCAGTGTAAAAAATCCTTAATGAGATATTTCATTTTTTTCACCCTAAGTCTGAAGTCCAGTGGTATTTTACACCCAAGCACATTGCAGTTCAGACTGGCCACATCTCAGGTGCCCATTCCTGTCCTGAGGAACTCAGCCCTACAGTATTAGGAGGTGACAGCGTCCTGGGAAAAAAAGGAGAGCAGGGTGGGTGAGATCAGGAGCCCCGGGTTGGCAGGTGGCGAGGTCAGGTAGGGTGCTCAGGGCAGGCCTCCAAGAGGAGGAGAAGCTGAAGCAAAGGCTTGGAGGGGAGAGTGTGTCCTGTCCATGTGTCTGGGGAATGGCGTTCTTGGCAGAGGGAGGAGATGAAGCGAAAGCCTGGTGTGTTGGAGGCCCAGCCAGGCGGCTGGAAACCCCTTGGAGAGGGTAGGGCTGAGCTGAGCTTCCCCCTCCAGGCCTCGAGGTGCAGGACCCGGAGAAGCGAGCTCTCGCCCCTTCCCTCAGCCAGTGACACCGCGTGGATGGAGAGCGTGGGAGCGGAGTGTTCTCAGCACTGGGGTCTCGGCGGGGACCCCAGGCAGCCCAAGAATACGGGGAGGCAGGGCACTCACGGCGAGTCCTTGGACAAGGAGCCCTGGGCCCCCAGATCCTCCACGGCCTGCACGGGGGGCCCGAGCTGGAGCTGGGACGAGTCTGCGGACAGGGGGGACGGCTGGCCCCCACAAACAGCTCCCTGCTGGGGCTCTGCCCTGCGGCCCTCACCGAGGAGAAAGTCCCCGGGGAAACTGCCAGCTGAGGGAGGCAGGCAGGAGTGGGCAAGAGCGCCCCCTGCCCGGCCTAGGAGGGGGGCCAAGGACCATTCCCTGGGGACTGTGACCTGGGTCCATTTATGAACCTTGGCTCAGACGTGAGGGACAGGAGAATAAAGCCGGGATGCGACCACTGACTGCGCTGTGTCTACCGGCCACGTCCAGGAGCCACTCGGTGCCAGGGACATGAGGCCTGGTGTTCTCTGCTGACAGGGGCCTGGTGGCTATTGGCTTCCTTGCCCTGTGTGGGGCAGCAAAGGGCTTTCCTCACGGGAGGGGCTGGTTGGGCCGGCGGGGATATCCCAGCTCTGGGAGGCTCTGAGTAGCCAGCAGTGGGTGGGGGTCTGGGTCTCGTGTCCTGAGTGTGGGGCAGTGAAATACCCAGAGGGCCCCCCCCACCCTGCCCCCTGCACCCCCTTCTGTCCTTTTACTGCTTCCTGCCTCCTCATCTCTCATCTCCACCTCTTTGGGGCTGAGCCCCTCCCCAGGGAGTTTACAGCCTGCGGGGGGTGGGGTGGAGGGGGGCGCTATTGCGGAGCTGGGAAGGATGTCGGGGTCTCTGACCAGGGCCTCTCGGATGACTGACGCCGGGGAGGGGAGCAATTAGGCTGGGCGATAGGATGACAGGACGTGAGTCAGGGCACCTGGGGCCACCCAGAGTAGGGTGGGGCTGCACGGCTGAGGTGAGGCCGCCTGAATCTGGGGGTGGCAAGAGCCGGGAGGGGTAGCCAGGTCTGCCTCCCCAGGGTGACCTACTGTAGCCTGACTCACTGGGTTTCCACAACGCTCCCCTTGGGGATCACCCACCGCTCTGCCCTCCTCTCACACTGAGTTTCTGAGGTCGGTGGCATGGGAGTGGACCCCCGCCCTGGCCTCTAGAGGGGCTGAGCAGCTGGAAGCCCCCTCCCATACAGTCTCTGGGTGGGGACTCTGATGGCCGCCCCACGGTCGGTGGCCCCTGTCAGCTGTCAGGGAGGGAGATGAGGCTCTGGAGGACCAGCCGGCCAGGGGTGCTGAGTCTGATGGCAGGGAGGCCACCCCTATGTGGCTCTGACACCCCTTTTTGGGGTCCACTCTGTACCAGGCTTGGGGATGACAGGGGGCAGAACCACACCTTAACCACTGGACCACCAGGGAGTTCCCTGAGGTGCTTTTAAAGGCCTGATCGCTCTAGAGAGATTCGGTCAGAAAACGGGCTGCCCATCCCTGCTGGAGGTCGGGCTGGGTGCCCTCTTAGTGCCCCCTGTAAGCACCCTCATGGGTAGGGGGAGCCCAGAGACAAGGCCTGGCCCTCAGGGTGCCTGCCCCTACCCAGGCCTCCCCTGCAAAGGCAAGTCCGCAGGGAAGAGGGCTTCCCTGGCGGTCGGGGATACAGACAGGAAGCTGGGCTGGGCCACGTGGCTTCTGGGACCCTCCTGGCCGGCCAACACCAAGAGCAAAGAGCCACACTGAGTGAGGCGTGCGGGGCTGGGGCTGTGCAGGATGAGGTGGCCTGTGGCCTCCCGCTGCTCATCCGTCAAGGGGACTGACAGATCCCCTCCCCTATTTGCTGCAGTCAAGAAGTGATCAAGAAGAACCAGGCAAGAGGGTTGTGATCTGTTTGAAGTTCCTCACTTTCACTGGTGGCTAAGAATTGGACAGAGCTGCCTGGCTGCCTTGGCGAGGAAGGTGGCTCTAAAGCACCGGAGTGGGACTCCCACCCCCTTGGGGCACAGCCTGCGGTGGACTTACCGCCCTGGGGCCGATACCTGGCTGGGGAGTGTCCGCCCCACAGAGGCTCCGGCTTATCCACAGACCCCAGGCATGGCTCCCAAGGGGGACTCCCGGGTCCCCAGGAGGGTCGCCCGGGGTCCCAGAGCGCACACTCTTGGCGGCAGCCCGCTGCGCCCGCGGGAGACCGGACCGCCCCCCCGCGCGCCCACCCGCAGCCCGGGCGCTGTCACGTTCCAGCGCCTGACTCAGGCCGCGCGGGGCGGGGAGCCGGGAGGCGGCGCCGGCGCCCGCCTCTGCCCCGGAGGCGGCACCAGGAAGCTCCCGCCCCGGCCGGAGCCGCCATGTAACCGGCGCCGCCCGCCCCGGAGCCGAGCCGCGCGGGCCCCAGCGACCCGCCGGCCATGGGGGACGAGGACGAGGACGAGGGCTGTGCCGTGGAGCTGCAGATTACCGAAGGTGGGGCAGGGGGTGGCCCGGGGTGCCGGCCGGGTGATGGCTGGCCCGGCCGGCCGGGGAGGATTCATGCACTGGCTGGGTTCATTTGCCCCCTGTGCCCACAGCCAACCTGACGGGGCACGAGGAGAAGGTAGGCGTGGAGAACTTCCAGCTGCTCAAGGTGCTGGGCACGGGAGGTGAGGACCCCTATCCACCGGCAAGTGCCCTCCCCCCGCAGGGTGCTCTGGGCCTGCCGCGCGGGCACACCCGCCTGGGTTGGGCCAGGCCACCAGCAATGCCCCCCACCCTCTCCCGGCATAGCCCGCCTTGCCTGCTTGGCCCTGCCCTGCCGGGGTTGGCATGCCCACTCCCAGGGCTGCTCCACATTGAGCAAGGTCCTCCCCGGATGTGCCAACACTCTTGGGGGCTTGCAGCCCACCCCGTGTGATTTCACAGCTCCCCGCACCTTGCGAGATATGAGAGCCGCCTTCTTCCACTTTGCAAACTGCCCACCTCGGGGCTGACTGTCCTTCCTCTGCCTGCCCGCCCCTCTGCGTCCCCTCCCTGGCTTTGCATCCTCTAGACCTTCCCCAGGTCTGCACACACCCCGCCCCCACCCTGTGCTGCAGGCCTCCGGGGAGTTGCGTGCCCCCACCCCACCCAGGGTTTGCACATCCCCTCCCTAGGTTTGCTGAGCACCCTCCCGGGGGTGTGCACGTCTTTGCCTTAGAAAGCGCTGCCAGCTTTGTGCACATCTGCCTCTCGCCCCGGCTCCTTCCCCCACCTTGCACACCCTCCTGGGTGGGGGCGTCGCTACCCCCCCACCTTTGCACCCACCCTTCTGCTCATGGCCTACCTTCCGCCCACTCGCTGCCCCCACAGCCTACGGGAAGGTGTTCCTGGTGCGGAAGGCGGGCGGGCACGACGCGGGCAAGCTGTATGCCATGAAGGTGCTGCGCAAGGCAGCCTTGGTGCAGCGTGCCAAGACACAGGAGCACACACGCACCGAGCGCTCCGTGCTGGAGCTGGTGCGCCAGGCACCCTTCCTGGTCACGCTGCACTACGCCTTCCAGACTGACGCCAAGCTGCACCTCATCCTGGGTAAGGGCAGGCCCTGTGGGGGCAGGTGGGGCCACCCGTGGGGGCTGCTTCCCAACGTCCACTCGCACCCCCTCCAGACTATGTGAACGGCGGCGAGATGTTCACCCACCTCTACCAGCGCCAGTACTTCAAGGAGGCCGAGGTGCGCGTGTATGGGGGCGAGATCGTGCTGGCTCTGGAGCACCTGCATAAGGTGGGTGAGGACCCGGCCACCTGGCCATGGCCCTGGGGACCAGGTCCCGGCCTCCGGAGGGGCCTGTGAACCTGGCCGCCTCGGGCTTTCTGGGAGGGGGTGGCCGTAGGGTGAGGTGAGGGGGGGACTGGATCCACTTCCCCTAGCCTCCTGGGAGGAAGGCCTGGGTGCTGCCTGCTGGGGTCTCCTCCGCTGGCACCTCCTCGAGGGGGCTTTCCTCTCACGGGGAACTCTCACAGGCTGCTTCCTGGGGCCACGTTCACAGAACTTCCTCAAATGGAGACCTCACGCCTTGGTTCCCAGAGCCGTTGTGATTCGGGGCTCCTCACACGGCTTTCCTCCCGGGGGCCTCTCCGCGGTGTTTCTCCGCCCCTTCCATGCTTTTTGGAAATTGACTGACTGATGGCAGTGCTGGGTCTTCATTCCTGCACTCGGGGGCTGCTCCTGGTTGCGGGGCTCAGGGTTCTCGTTGCGGTGGCTTCTCTTGCTGTGGACTCAGCAGTTGTGGCCCACGGGCTTAGTTGCTCCACGGCATGTGGCACCTTCCAGGACCAGGGCTGGAAGCCGTGTCCCCTGTATTGGCAGGAGGATTCTTAACCACTGGGCCACCAGGGAAGCCCCTACGCTGGTGCATCTTAAATGGCTTCTCCTGTCCCATGGCCCCGGCTCATCCTGCCCCCCACCCCACTGGAGAGCCCCTGCCCCAGGGCTCTGGTGCAGAACAGGAGCTGTAGGGGCGGGGGTGGGGGTGTCGGGGGAGGGACCCTCAGCGCTCTCTTCCCTCCTGCCAGCTGGGCATCATCTACCGAGATCTGAAGCTGGAGAATGTGCTTCTGGACTCCGAGGGCCATATTGTCCTCACCGACTTTGGGCTTAGCAAGGAGTTCCTGACAGAGGAGGTGAGTGAAGGGAGGTCTCAGCCTCCTGAGCCCCCCACGCAGGGCTTCCCATCCTGGCTCCAGCTTCACGCCTGGCTCTGCATTTCTAGGGGGGTGCAGTAGCTCTGCCTTTGGGAAGTTCCCACTGCTCCAACTCTCACAAGTCCGGCGAGTCTTACTCTGGGCCATGGTGGGGGGCTGCTGGGTGCCCAAATGGGTCCTCTTGTCCTCCCAGAAAGAGCGGACCTTCTCCTTCTGCGGCACCATCGAGTACATGGCCCCTGAAATCATCCGCAGCAAGTCGGGCCACGGCAAGGTGGGTTGGCCCGGGAGTGGGGTGGGGTGAGCCGGGGGTGGCTGCAGGCCCTCACCCTGGCTCTGCCCAGCAGGCTGTAGACTGGTGGAGCCTTGGCATCCTGCTCTTCGAGCTGCTGACAGGGGCCTCACCCTTCACCCTGGAGGGCGAGAGGAACACGCAGGCAGAGGTGTCTCGGTGAGCAGAGCTGGAAGCAGAGGGCGGCCGAGGAGCCTGGGCAGGGCTGGAGGGGGGGCTCGCTGCCCCTGACGCCCCCCCCAATCCTCCCAGACGGATCCTGAAGTGCTCCCCTCCCTTCCCCCCCCGGATCGGGCCAGTGGCACAGGACCTACTGCAGCGGCTACTCTGCAAGGACCCCAGGAAGCGACTGGGTGCAGGACCCCAGGGGGCACAGGAAGTTAAGGACCACCCCTTCTTCCAGGTGAGGCTCCTGGCTCACCCCCATAGCTCTCTACACACACCGGGGCTGGGCTACTGCTCTGGGTTGGGGGACACTGGAGGGGTGGTCCGAGACTGGACAGTTGCACTTGATTTAGAAAACTTTGCAAGTAAAAAAAGCAAGCTTGTCTTCTCATTCATCTCTATTAAAATTTGCCCTTGTGGGAAAGAATTCTAGGTTCATTGCCTGGCAGGACTGGCAGGGACTGGAGAATGGACTTTTCATTGGACAATTAAGAGAAGCAAGGTGATCTGCCAGAGATCACACAGTACAAATGTAGAGCTGGGAACAGACCCCAGGTCTACTGTCGGCCCCAGTCTCATGACTGTTAGCATCCACTCAGGGTTTTGGTCTTTGTACCTGTATAGTGTGTGTGCCTATACTTCAGATGGATGTGTCTGAATCAGCCACGTGGGATTTGTCCTAAGCAACTTGCACGCGGGTTAGGGTACAGTGCAGAGTGAATTCTGTCCTTGTGAGCCCTCGCTGGTTTGGGCACTGTGTGTGGCCAGAGTCATTGCATAGCATGTGTGCATGCTCAGTTGCTCAGTCATGTCCCACTCTTTGCTACCCGCTGGACTGGAGCCCACCAGGCTTCTCTGTCCATGGGAGTGGGCTGCCATTTCCTACTCCAGGGGATCTTCCCGACCCAAGGATTGAACCCACGTCTCCTGCATTAACAGGCAGATTCCTTACCACTGAGCCACCTGGGAAGCCCCCGTTGCCTAGCAGGACCCTGTAACAGTGACTGTGTCTTGGCCCCTTGCTTGCATAATTTCATGTAAGCCTCAGAACCAACCTGATTATCCTTATCTTCACAGACAAGGAAACAGGTTCAGAAAAAGTGAAAGTGAAAGTTGCTCAGTCCTGTCTGACTCTTTGCGACTTCATGGACTATACAGTCCATGGTCAGAGAGGTTAGGTAATTTGCCCAAGATCACTGAGTGAAGTGACAGAGCTCAGGTCTAGGTGGCCTGAAGGCCCATGCTCTGAAGTGTCATGTTCTGTTTACACGTGGGTATTAAATTTGCCTTGTCTGATGTAGTAACAAAAGCATCCATTTTGGGCACTTACTGTGGGCTGGGCACCCAGTTACCCTTGCTATGAATACCACCTCCTTGGATCTTCCCAGCAAGTACTGCCTGGAAGGGCCCTCAGAGAAGCTTTCTCAAACAGGAGTCTTAAGTGTCCACGGTGAAGGTGTTCCATTATGGGCAGAGTGACTGAGCAGTGTCAGTTTCCTTAAGTGAATTCCTCAGCCCACCCTGAGTGCATCCTGGGCCCTGGGTGCTTGGGAGCAGGTGAACCAGTTGTCAGACTAGAGAGTGCCCGCCCCTCCCCAGGTCTTTTAAGGCCTGATGCTATTTTCCCTTCTCTTGAGACAACCTCTTTGCTGATAGCAATGCTGAGGTCCCTGGTGCCAGAACTGGGGCCTTTAAGCCCAAGCCATGCCTCTAGGCTGCATGTGACAAAAAGTGCACTGAAGATGGTGATATCTGTGGAATAGAGTCTGGCTTCTAAGAACAGAGATTGGAATGAATGGTAGACTAAAAAAGATGGAGATCTATCTGTCTGTCTGTCTGTCTGCCTGTTTATCTATCTACATAAAAGAAATCCAGAGGTCAGCAGTCTAGGGCTGCTATGGTGTCGTCAAGGAGCCAAGCTTGATTTTTTCTTTTTACATGCTCCTTCATTTTTAGCATGTAGTCTCCATTCCCATGGCTTTCCGGGTGGTGCTAGTGGTAAGGAGCCCATCTGTCAATGCAGGAGACATAAGAGATGCGGGTTCAATCCCTATGTCAGGAAGATCCCCTGGAGGAGGACATGGCAGTCCACTCCAGTATTTTTGCCTGGAGAATCCCATGGATAGGGGAGCCTAGTGAGCTATAGTCCGTGGGGTCACAAGGGTTTGACATGCCTGAGCAACTAATACTACACTACAGCCTGCATTCCCAAGATTGCCTCCTGGTATCAAAATGACTGCTAGTCCTCTTGCTGTCTAGGTTGCTCTGTAGGTGGGAAGCATGAGGAAGAAGGAGGGAAGGGCAAAAAGGGTACTTAACAACCGATCACCCTCCTTTTCAGGCTCTTTCTCTGGATTCCTCCCTCATAATTTTTGCTTACAAGTAATTGGCCACTGCTAACTGTAAGGAAGTTTGTAAAATACTATTTTTTAGTTTGTACATTGGTTCCTGAAATAAAACAGGGGCTATAGTCCTAAGAATGACAGAGAGAATGGGTGTTGGACAGGCAAAAAGAACAAGCTATGCCATACTAGTTTAAACATAAAAAGGAATGTTTTAGCTACCATAAATGAAAAGTCAGGAAAAACGGTCTAATTTCAGGCAAGGATGGATCCAGGTGCTGAGTCTATATTATTAGGAATTTCTTACTTTGTCTCTTGCTTCTGCTTTTCTGCCTGGGCCTTTCATCACTAGACACTGAGGGGACCACAGCAGTTCCAGACCCATATCCTCCCAGATTTAAGTCCAGTAGAAGAAAGAGATTTTTTTTTGCATACCAGTTCTATTAAAAGTCTGAGAATTGGCTGAGTGTGGTGGAGGGTGGTTCTCCAAGGGAAACAGGGATCCTGTTATCAGAGGAAGGGAAACAGAAGCTGGGGAGGCAGGAAGAACAGCTCTGCACACAAGTGCCAGGGAGACCTTTGCCTCACTGAGGAGTTGCCCAGTGAGGGTGGCCCGACTGGACAGTTTCCACTTCCTGCCCTTTGATCCCTTATTTTTCATTCCTTTTCTCCAGGGTCTGGACTGGGCTGCTCTGGCTGCTAGGAAGATTCCAGCCCCATTCCGACCCCAGATCCGCTCAGAGCTGGATGTGGGCAACTTTGCAGAGGAATTTACCCGACTGGAGCCTGTCTACTCACCCCCGGGCAGCCCCCCACCTGGGGACCCTCGCATCTTCCAGGTGAGTGAGAGCTCATGAAACCACAGATGCAGGGGAAGTGGGGTGCTGCTGCCAGCCTCAGCCTCAGCTGACCTGTGGACACTACATAGCCCTGTGTCCTGAGGGGGACTCAGCATCTCCCTTGCTCTCCATTCATGATGAACTTTGAATTGTCAGTCATCAAGACTGCCTTGGCAGGACACATCTTTGAATTTCCTGGTTTATCTTGAAATTTCATGTCGATTTCCCTTCTCCATCATCTCTCTTTATTGTTAGGTAAAACTATTGTTTTAAGGGGACACCTAGGAAGAGATGCTTTGTTTATACTGTGGCATACCATATCACATTCCTGGGGCACAGGCCCCCTCTACCCAGTTTTAGAAGCTTAGGCCTGTTGGACAAATCCAAGCTCCTTTGCTTGGTATACAAGGCCTTGCATGATGTGGTCTTTTTTTTTAACTTTTTCTTTTATATTAGAATATAGCCGAATAACAATGTTGTGATAGTTTCAGGTGGACAGCAAAGGGACTCAACCATACATATGCATGTATCCATTCTCCCCCAAACTCCCCCCCCATCCAGGCTGCCACCTAACATTGAGCAGAGTTCCCTGTGCTATACAGTAGGTCCTTGTTAGTTATCCATTTTAAATATAGCAGTATATACATGTCAATTTTAAACTCCCTTGTTGTTGCTCAGTTGTTAAATCGTGTCTGACTCTTTGCAACTCAGTGGACTGCAGCACACCAGGCTTCCCTATCCTCCACTATCTCCTGCAGTTTGCTCAAACTCATGTCCATTGAGTTGGTGATACCATTCATCCTCTGTTGCCCCCTTCTCCTCCTGCCTTCAATCTTTCTCAGCATCAGGATCTTTTCTAACAAGTCGGCTCCTCTTCGCATCAGGGGCCCAAAATATTGGAGGTTCAGCTTCAGCATCAGTCCTTCCAATCAATTTTCTTTAGGATTGACTGGTTTGATCTTCCTGCTGTCCAGAGGACTCTCAAGAGTCTTCTCCAGCACCACAGTTTGAAAGTATCAATTCTTTTGTGCTCAGCCTTCCTTATGGTCCAGCTCTCACATCCGTACATGACTACTGGAAAAACCATAGCTCTGACTATATGGACCTTTGTCAGCAAAGTGATGTCTCTGCTTTTAATACGCTGTCTAGGTTTGTCATAGGTTTTCTTCCAAGGAGCAAGCGTCTGTTAATTTCATGGCTGCAGTCACCATCTGCAGTGATTTTGGAGTCCAAGAAAATGAAATCTGCCACTGTTTCCATATTTTCCCCATTTATTTTCCATGAAGTGATGGGACCAGATGCCATGATCTTAGTTTTCTGAACGTTGATTTTTAAGCCAGTTTTTTCATTCTCCTCTTTTACCTTTATCAAGCGGCTCTTTAGTTCCTCTTTTCTTTCTGCCATTAGGGTGATATCATCCGCATATCTGACGTTGTTGATATTTCGCCGTGCAATCTTGATTCCAGCTTTTGATTCATCCAGCCTGGCATTTTGCATGATGTGCTCTGCATATAAGTTAAATAAACAGGGTGACAATATATAGCCTTGACGTACTCCTTTCCCAATTTTGACCCAGCCCGTTGTTCTGTGTCTGGTTTTCCCTAACTATCCCTTCCCTTCACCGCCACACACCCCCCCCCCTCCCCCGCCCCGGCCCCCCGCCTGGTAATCAGAAGTTCATTCACTAAGTCTGTGAGTCTGTTTCTGTTATGTAAATCAGTTCATTTGTATATGATGTTGGTCTTTGCTCAGTACTCTCTGTTATTTCACCTGGTGCTCCAGCACCTTGGAACTTCTCAGAGGTTCCAAAACATACTTCTGTACCTTTGCACATGCAGTTTCCCCCACCTGGAGTTCTTTCCCTACAGTTGCCCACCTGGCAAAATTCAAGCCTCGTTGTCCAGCGCTGCCCTGTGAGAAGACTTCCCTGCGCCTCTGGCCCTAGGTTGCTCTTTTCTTGGGCACCAGCCCTCTGAAGACAAAACCTCCTTCTGAGCAGTTTGTCAGGTTGTATACTAACACTGACGGAGACCACCTCGCCTGGTCTGAAACTCTCAGAGGGCAGGGACTATGTGTTTAATTTCTGCGTCCCTAGGTCCAGCTTGGGGTCATGGCTGGGTAGGACGCGGTCCATAAATAGTAAATAATAGGCCAGTATCAACTATGGATGGATCAGTCCCCTCTGTGAAGCTCTCACAAGTGACAGCTCTGTGCTTGAATATCCCTCGATCTACTGGGATCTATCTTTGATCTCACAGTCCTAATGAGCAAGTTTTCTTGCTAATCGATGGTTACTTTCTTTTTTTTTTTTGATGGTTACTTTCATTAATTCATTTAATGATTCAAAAATATGTACTGAGTGCCTTCAAAGTGCCAGGCACTGACTTGGGTACTGGGGACATATCAACAAACTTAATAGACAAAAATCCTACCTGTGTGCATCCTAGTTAGGACTGCATACGGTGGCGCTGTGTTTTTAGGAGAAAACAACACATCCTTAAAATTACCCTTGAGAATTCCTTGAATTGCCAGGACATGGATCCTTAGGAAAGGCAAAATAATTAACTTTGGTTTCTCTTTACATTTCCTCAGTAGCCCCCCTTGCAGAGGAGGCCAAAGTTTGATTTGAAAGTAATAAAGACTTTTTGTCCTGCGTGGGTAGAGCTGAATTCTCCTAAGCTAAGCATGTGTGATACCAGGCCACAGTTCTTTCATTCATTCAGCCCATCATATTCTGGGCCATTACATTGTGCCAGATGATGGCCTTGGCACTTGGGGGACCACTGTGACGAGAAAGGTGGAGTCCCAGACTGCTGAGGGGATAGACATGGTTCCAAGGGATCACAGACCAAGGTGGAATAAAAATGTCCACAACAGCCTGTGTACATTGAGATGCAAAAGCAACACCCCCAACTCCCTACTGCAGGGTCTTTCCTCTGCCCCCTGCCCTCCTTCCGGCTGGGTCTGGGCCTTCAGGGGCTCCTTCTGCACCTCCAGCCCCCGGATGCCCATCCAGCCCTGACAACCCCCCTCCTCCACCAGGGATACTCCTTCGTGGCGCCATCCATCTTGTTTGATCGCAACAACGCGGTGATGACCGATGTGCTGGAAGCGTCTGGCGCTGGAGACCGGCCCGGCCCGGCGGCGTTGGCCAGGAGCGTCATGATGCAGGTGGATCGGGCCAGGGTGGGGAGAAGTGGGCGTGGGGACTCCAGACCTGTCTTCACCAGGCGCACACGGAGCCTCTCCGAAGTGGGGCGTGGCATAGCCGCAAGGCTCCGGCTACGACCTCTGACGCTTATCCTTCGCCCCCAGGACTCGCCCTTCTTCCAGCAGTACGAACTGGACCTGCGGGAACCCGCGTTGGGCCAGGGTAGTTTCTCCGTGTGCCGCCGCTGCCGCCAGCTACAGAGCGGCCAAGAGTTCGCGGTCAAGATCCTCAGTCGCAGGTGGGCGGGCCCGGGGTGGGCGGAGTCCGGCAGAGCGGACTCGGGGAGGGTGGGGCCGGAGGTCGGCTCTTCTGACCCCGCCTGCCCTGCCCCCAGGCTGGAGGAGAACACGCAGCGCGAAGTGGCTGCCCTGCGGCTGTGCCAGTCGCATCCCAACGTGGTGAAGCTGCACGAAGTGCATCACGACCAGGTGACGCCTTCCTGGGCTGGGGCGGAGCGCAGGGGTGCTGGAGGCTGCCCGAGGAGGGCGGGGAGGCGGGCAGGAGGCGGGGCCTGAGCGCGCCGTGGGAGGGGCCTGAGGACCTGGAGGTGAGGGAGGCGGGATTATGGTAGCTCAGCAGGTAAAGAAGTCGCCTCAATTCCTGTTCCTCAATTCCTGTTCGACTCCTGGGTCAGGAAGTTTCCTTGGAGAAAGGACAGCCTACTCCAGGGTTCTTGGGCTCCCCTGGTGGCTCAGACGGTAAAGAATCCGCCTGCAATGTGGGAGACCTGGGTTTGATTCCTGGGTTGGGAAGATCCCCTGGAAGAGGGCATCCCACTCCAGTATTCCTGCCTGGAGAATCCCCATGGACAGAGGAGCCTGGCGGGCTACAGGCTACATATGTATAAAGAGTCAGACACGACTGAGGGACTAAGCACCTAGGAGGGCCTGAGGACCCGAAGGCAGATATGGGAATGGACAAGGGAACAGGGCAGGGGGACGATTTTTGCGTGTGGGTTTTAAGGTGGCCACAACAGTTTGTTGTGTGGATCACAACAAATTGGAAAATTCTTAAAGAGTTGGGAGTACCAAACCACCTTACCTGCCTCCTGAGAAATCTGTATGCAGGTCAAGAAACAACAGTTAGAATCGGACATGGAACAATGGACTGGTTCCAAATTGCGAAAGGAGTACATCAAAGCTATATATTGTCACCCTGTTTATTTAACTTATATGCAGAATACATCATGCAAAATGTGGGCTGGATGAAGCACAAGCTGGAATCAAGATTGCTGGGAGAAATATCAATAATAACCTCAGATATGCAGATGACACCACCCTTATGGTAGAAAGCAAAGAACTGAGGAGCCTCTTGATGAAAGTGAGAGAGAAGAGTGAAAAAAGCAGGCTTAAAACTCAACATTCAAAAAAAAAAAAACCTCAACATTCAAAAAACGAAGATCATGGCATCGGGTCCCATCACTTCATGGCACATAGATGGGGGAACAATGGATACAGTGACAGACTTTATTTTCTGCAGATGGTGACTGCAGCCATGAAATTAACAGATGCTTGCTCCTTGGAAGAAAAGCTATGACAAACCTAGACAGCATATTAAAAAGCAGACATTAGTTTGCCGACAAAGGTCCATCTAGTCAAAGCTATGGTTTTTCCAGTAGTCATGTATGGATGTGAGAGAAAGCTGAGTGCTGAAGAGTTGATGCTTTTGAACTGTGGTGTTGGAGAAGACTCTTGAGAGTCCCTTGGACTGCAAGGAGATCAAACCAGTCAATCCTAAAGGAAATCAATCCTGAATATTCATTGTAAAGACCGATGCTGAAGCTGAAGTTCTAATCCTTTGGCTACCTGATTTGAAGAACTGACTCATTGGAAAAAACCCTGATGCTGGTAAAGATTGAAGGCAAGGGGAGAAGGGGACGACAGAGGATGAGATGGTTGGATGGCATCACTGACTTGATGGACATGAGTTTGAGCAGACTGCAGGAGTTGGTAATGGGCAGGGAAGCCTGGAGTGCTGCAGTTCATGGGGTCGCAAAGAGTCAGACAAGACTGAGCGACTGAACTGGACTTTAAGGCGGCCAAAGGGACTGCTGCTGCTGCTAAGTCGCTTCAGTCGTGTCCAACCCTTCGCGATCCTGTGGACTGAAGCCCGCCACGTCCTCTGTCCATAGGATTCTCCAGGCCCAAGAATACTAGAGTGGATTGCCATGCCCTCCTCCAGGGGATCTTCGGCACCCAGGGATCCAACTCGCATCTGTTACCTCCCTTGCATTGGCAGGCGGGTTCTTTACCACTAGCGCCACCTGGGAAGGAAAACAGTACGGGGTGGAACCGCAAGCGAGGCCTAAGGTGGTTCTTGGGGGGTGGGGTGGGGGGGGTGGGAGGGTGGTAGTCTTGAGATCAGGGTTGAACGTGGAAGGCGCCTGAAACTGGGGGCGGGGCTCGATGGTGACCTCGGGGCGGGATCTGGCGGGCGGGTGCGGTCTCGGTAGGCGGTGACCCCGGCCCGTCGCGCTGCCCGCAGTTGCACACGTACCTGGTCCTGGAGCTGCTGCAGGGCGGGGAGCTGCTGGAGCACATCCGCAAGAAGCGGCACTTCAGCGAGTCCGAGGCGAGCCAGATCCTGCGCAGCCTCGTGTCGGCCGTGAGCTTCATGCACGAGGAGGCGGGCGTAGTGCACCGCGACCTGAAGCCCGAGGTGAGCGCGGGGCCTCAGCGCAACGGGAGGGCCTCGCGCGGAGGGCCTGGTTCTGACGGCCGCCTCGCCACCCTCGTAGAACATCCTGTACGCCGATGACACGCCCGGGGCCCCGGTGAAGATCATCGACTTCGGGTTCGCGCGCCTGCGCCCGCAAAGCCCCGCAGGGCCCATGCAGACGCCCTGCTTCACGCTGCAGTACGCGGCCCCCGAACTGCTGGCCCAGCAGGGCTACGACGAGTCCTGCGACCTCTGGAGCCTCGGCGTCATTCTGGTATGGGACGGCATCTCTGAGGGGATGTCAGGGTCCTCTGAGCCTGGGGACAGCAGTCCTCTTGGTGGGGGTGGCAGGATTAGGTCTGAGGCTGGGATCAGAAGATGCCCTGATACATAGGTAGGGTCGCTCTGGTACTGGGGTCTAGGCATCCTAGTTTGATGGGTATTCATCACCCACGGGCCTCAGTTGTTAGCCTCTTGGAGAGAGTGCATGGTCCTGTGGTGGGCTGAATCAGTCTCCTGGCCTCCATTGGCCCCATAGTCTGGGCTGGTCTCACTTTTCACCTGTCCCCCCGCCCCCACCCCTAGTACATGATGCTGTCGGGCCAGGTCCCCTTCCAGGGGGCCTCAGGCCAAGGCGGGCAGAGCCAGGCGGCGGAGATCATGTGCAAGATCCGCGAGGGGCGCTTCTCTCTTGACGGGGAGGCCTGGGAAGGCGTGTCTGAGGAAGCCAAGGAGCTGGTCCGAGGTGCGGAGCTGGAGGTCACAGGTTATGGTTGGGGAGGGGGAGGCCATGGGGTCGTGATGGAGCAAGGAGTGCCCCCGGGCCAGGTGTCCCGGTGGGGGGCTTGTCAGGGAGGAGAGTGGGGCTGCTCTGGGGTGCAGCCTCTATACGAGGCCCGCTAACGCTGCCCCGCCCCGCCTCCAGGGCTCCTGACTGTGGATCCCGCCAAGCGGCTGAAGCTCGAGGGGCTGCGGGGCAGCTCATGGCTGCAGGACGGCAGCGCGCGCTCCTCGCCTCCGCTGCGGACGCCGGACGTGCTGGAGTCCTCGGGGTCCGCTGTGCGCTCCGGGCTCAACGCCACCTTCATGGTGAGGGGCGGGGCCTTCGGGGCGGGGCCTGAGCCTGGGGGCGGGGCCTCCGGAAGGCGACTCTGCGGAGTCGTGCCAGGTTGAGGTCTGCGGTGTCCAGACCCGTGACCTGCCGGGGCCCTGAGCTTCTGAGAGGCTGTGGAAGCCAAAGACCTGTTGGACCTGACCTAGTGGGATGGGAAGGAGGGCCTGGGACGGGGCCAAAGCCGGGATCTGGAAGTCGAGGCCAGGCCGGTGGGACTTACCCTTTCCTTTCCGCCAGGCGTTCAACAGGGGCAAACGCGAGGGTTTCTTCCTGAAGAGTGTGGAAAACGCGCCGCTGGCGAAGCGGCGGAAACAGAAGCTACGGAGCGCCGCCACGTCCCGCCGCGTCTCCCCCGCGCCCGCCGCCCCGGGCCGGGCCCCGGCTGCCAAGGGAGGCCCCCGACGAGCCAATGGCCCCCTACCCCCCTCCTAGCCCCTGCCCTTGTGATCCCCGCCTCCCCTATCTTGTCTGTGATCTAGGAGGCCGGCTCACTGCCTCCTGAATTGGCGCCGCCCCCTCCCCAGGATTGTTACCCTTTCTCCCCCCCCATTCCCCCTCCCTACCCCCAGACAGAGCAGAAGTATTTTTATAAGCAGAGAATTCTTTTTTAAAAAATGTCTTACCAGATTACAGTTAGAGATGCAGGGAAGGAGGGGGCCTGCTGGGGAGTAGGGTGTGTGGCCCTCTGCCAAGATGCTGCGTCATCTGGTGGAAGGTCCTTCTACCCCAAGGGGCTGCTCCGGTTGGGAAGGGCTCCTGCATTTCTAAGCACTGAGTTGCCACAGGGAGAAACTGGGACCTCTCCCCTGCCCTCCCCTGAGGACCTGCTCTTGGGAGGGGGCACCTCTCAAGCTGTCACTTTATGGACTGTCTGTGCAATTACGTCCACCAAAGACCTGTGTTGGGGGGGGGTGCTCAGCGAGAGGCCCTGGGGGACCCCCTGAAGCATTTCTGCCTCACTTTATGTCACCTGCTTCCCCCTATTGGGGCTAAGTTAGGAGGTAGGTGACCCTCCCTAAAAGGGGCGGCCCCCTTCTCATCTGTCCCCTCCCCTTTGGCACAGCTGCCCCTAGCTGTGGGGTGGGGCCTTGGGGGGCTGGGCTGGGCTTCCACAGTCACTGCCTCCGCCCATACAGGCTGTGCCTTTGACTTTAAAATAAAAGTCTACTCAGTGCTGTGTGGCACCTGTGTTTGTATGTGTGGGGGGTTGTGGAGGCACAGGTCTGGGGGCTCAATTCCAGGCACTGGGCCCTTGGGCCTCAAAGAGGAGGGACAGGGCAGACCCTTCTGGGTAAGATGATACCCTTTGTCCTTGGTGTTTTTAAAATTTATTTTTAATTGGAGGATAGTTGCTTTACAATTTGTGCTGGTTTCTCTGTACAACAACGTGAATCAACCATGTGTATACATATATCCCCCCCGTCTGGAGCCTCTCTCCTGCCCTTTCCATCCTACCCCACTAGGTCATCCTAGACCACTGAGCTGAGCTCCCTGTGTTAAAGAGCAGCTTTCCACCAGCTGTTTTACACGTGGTGATGTATAGATGTCAATGCTACTTTCTCAATTTTCCCCACCCTCTCCCTCCCCCACTGTGTCCACAAACCTGTTCTTTACATCTGCATCTCTATTCCTGCCCTGCAAATAGGTTCATCAGTACCATTTTTCTAGACTCCATATATATGCATTACTATATGATATTTTTCTGACTTCACTCTATGACAGACCCTAGGTCCATTCACCTCTCTACAACTGACTCAGTTTTGTTCCTTTTTTATGACTGAGTACTATTCCACTGTATATATTTACCACAACTTCTTTATGCATTCATCTGTTGATGGACTTCTGGGTTGCTTCCATATCCTGACTAGTGCTACAGTGGACACTGGTGTACATGTGACTTTTTGAGTTATGGTTCTCTCAGGGCATATGCCCAGAGTGGGATTGCTGGGTCATATGGTAGTTTTATTCCTAATTTTTTTTTTAAAAGGAATCTCCATACTGTTCTCCATAGTGGTTTTCCCACCAACAGTGCAAGAGTTTTCCCTTTTCTCCACACCCTCTCCAGCATTTATTTTTTGTAGATTTTTTTATGATGGCCATTCTAGCTGATGTGAAGTGATTGCTTATTATAGTTTTGACTTGCAGTTCTCCCTTGGACAGCAAGGAGATCAAACCAGTCAGTCCTAAAAGAAATCAACCCTGTATATTCATTGGAACAACTGATGCTGAAGCTAAAGCTCCAATACTTTGGCCACCTGATATGAAGAGCCGACTCACTGGAAAAGATTCCGATGTTGGGAAAGATTGAGGGCAAGAGGAGAAGGGTGGGACAGAGGATGAGATGGTTGGATGGTATCACTGACTCAATGGACATGAGTTTGAGCAAGCTCCAAGAGATAGTGAAGGACAGGGAAGTCTCGCATGCTGCAGTCCATGGGGTTGCAGTGGGTTGGACCTGACTTAGTGACTGAACAACAATAATAAGCAATGTTGAGCATCTTTTAATGTGTTTGTTGCCATCTGTATGTCTGTTCTTGGCTTTTGACATGAGGGTCAAACAGTCACTTTAGGTGTTTATCTGAGAGCTCTGCCATGTATCATTTAGGATTCTCCTGGTTGTAAGTAGAGGAAAACCCAACCTAAACTTGCTTCAGCAGAACAGGAGTTTTAGGCTTTTTGAACTACACAATCCAGGGGTCGCTTCAGGCAAGGCCTGAAAGTGAAAAAGTGAAAGTGAACGTATTAGTCGCTTGGTCCTCCCTGACTCTGAACCTCACACACTGTAACCTGCCAGGCTCCTCTGTCCATGGGATTCTCAGGCAAGAACACTGGAGTGGGTTGCTGTGCCTTCCTCCAGGGGATCTTCCCTACCCAGGGATTGAACTGATCGGGATGCAAACATATGATCAAGACTCAGCTTCCCAGTCTCAGCTTTTTACTCTGTGTGTGTGTGTTTTGGTGTTGCTACAGACTGGATGGCTTCCCCTTTGGCCCCAAGATGGGGGGCAGGTGCTCCAAGTTGCTACAAACTGAAATCTAGTAATAAAGGGAATCTTTATTCCTGGCAGGAATCCCGAGGTGTACTCTGATTGGATCCATGTACTCTGGGAGGTCAGAGGCTAGATCTGGGTCATGGATTCCCCTCTGCAAGCTCAGGGGGAGGACCATCCTTTGGTGATCCTTAGAGAGAGGTCAGTCGGACAGGGCTTGGTGCCTGTCAGGGAGGGAGAAGAGCAGAAAAACAGCTCATACCCCTGGCCCTGGCAGTGAACAGTGAGTGTGGTCCTCTCAGGGGGCCCGAGACTGCCCCTGTGTGATCCCTGCTGGGTGGTTTGGCTTTGGGGCAGTTTGGCCTGAACACTTCTCTGCCCCCCAGTGCAGGGCTCTTTGTCCACATGGTGCAGCTGTCCCGAGAGCCCCTGCCCACTTGGGCTGCTTCAGGCCTTCTTTCCCCATAGTCACCCGGGGGGTCATCTCAGGGTGGACCTTTCCCCTCCTGTTCTGAAGTTTGCCCCTTAGAGAAGGAAGTAACTGGAGGCATGGGGATGGGAGCTGGGTAAAGCTGAGTGAGCCTGATGGGCAGGTGAGACCCCATGGGTGTGAATCAAGGGCTATTGGGGTGTGAGGACACCCAACTGTACCCCATCCTATGGGTCTGAAGGAGGAGGGAGGGGCCCAGGAGGAGGGCTTGGGTAGGGGAGGGGAAGGCATTCCTAATTCTGACTCTTGTTTTATGGACTGTGTGACTTGAGTAAGCCACCTAACACTCCCCAAGTTTCCCCATTTGTCAAAAGGGAGTCTTGTGACTGTTAGGATGAATCAGAGCAGTGGTCCCCAACCTTTTTGGCAGGAAAGGGGACCGATTTCGTGGAAGACAATTTTTCCATGGACCAGGGAGGGTAAGGTTTCAATTTTGCCTGCTGCTCACCTCCTGCTGTGTGGCCCTGTTCCTAATCAGGCCATGGACCGGTACTGGTCCCTGGCCCAGAGGTTGGGGACTCCTGAACTAGAGAATGTGTGCAGGTGGGGTTGTTTGATCATCAGCATTTAGTGAGACTGACTGAGGTCTTCTAGTGCGCAGGGACCACACTGAACACTCTGCACAGGTGATCTTCTTGTCTCCCCACAGCTCACTGATGAAGAAAGCACCATTTCCATTCAAGAGGTGAGAAAAGTGAACCTCAGTGAAGGTCAAAAGCTTGCTCAAGGTCACTGACCTAGTTGTGCCTTCCATCCCAGTGGTCCAATTCCAGACTCCCCTCAACCATAGGAGTTCTGCAGTGAGGATGGGCTTTAATTTTACCCCAAGGCTGGATATTTGGATTGTTTAAAACTTTGTTTCTCTCATAAATGATGTGGAGACAAGTTTGTACATAAATCTGTGCATTAAAAAAATAGCTTTATTGAGGGAATTCCCCAGTGGTCCAGGGGTTAGGATTTGGTGCTTTCACTACTGGGGCCTGGATTCAATCCCTGGTCAGGGAACTATTAATAAGATCCTGCAAGTTATAAGATTTGACCAAAAAAAAAAAACTTTATTGAGATATAATTTTTAATTGAGATACAATTCATATACCATATTATTCACCCATTTGAGAGCACAGTTCAGTGATTTTTTTTTTTTTTTTTTTGACACTGGCTCATGGCTTGTAGGATCTTAGTTCCTTGACCAGGGATTGAACCCAAGCCCTGGCAGTGAAAGTGCGAAGTCCTAACTACTGGACTGCCAAGGAATTCCCTAGTGATTTTTAGAATAGTCAGAGTTGTATATCTATCACTGCAACCTAGTTTTAGGACACTTCTTTCACCTTCAAAAGAAACTCTGTACCTACTGGCAGTCATTCTCCCTTTTCCCTCCATCTTCCAGCCCTAGGCAGACATCCATCTAACCTCGTTTTGTAGATTTGCCTACATACTTTGATATATGCTTTGAAATATACTTTCAAATAGCCATTCACAAATGTACTGGCATACAGTCTCAGAAGCAGGGTATGAAAATGTCCCATTATAAGCTCATGAGCCTGGAGTGTTATCACTCAATGATAAAACCTTTGCTGCTTTGATGCGTAAAAAAAGTCAGTTACCTTCAGTTTCCTTACTCTTCATTTCACACAACTCACAGTCACCCTAAGAAAGAGGTCTTTCTAGCCTCATTTTTTGGGACTCAGGATGGGAGTAAGCCCAAGGAGGGAGCCTGTTGGATGGAAAGTGCTGGGGCCCAGAGGCATGGGCAGCTTTGGTTTGAGTCCTGCCTCCGCCCCCTGTAGTCAGGGAGTCAGCAGGGCAGACAGGAGACTTGGACGGTAGTCAGGACGGGTGTGAGCCAGCAGAGTGGGCGGGGAGAG